AAAAAAAAAAAAAAAAAGAATTCACCCCTTAAAGTTTCTTTAAGATATAAAATATAAATATGTGTAGCTCTCAGAAGAAGTTTTAGAACTCAGTCATGTTAACATTTGAAGAGTCATTCATTTGTCTGAGCAACTAAGTACATTTCATGTTTACTGATTTTCACTATTTTAAAAACACAAAATGATGCAGACCTTAGCCTGAGAATATAGAAACTCTAATCACATCATTACACAGACTTGTTTAGCCTTTGGGTGCTCCCTGTCACGAGAGAGAGCTTTTAGCCTCTCTGAATCTATCTTCCAGAAGCATTTTAGAAGTCCCTTTTTGTGCCGGGCGGGGTAGCACATGCAGGGAATCCCAGCACTCAGGAGACTAGGACTGCCCTGAGTTCAAGGCCGGCTGGGCCTATATAAGCGAGTTCAAGGGCAGCCTAAACTACATAGTGAGACCCTGACTCAAACAAACAAACAACAGACAAACAAACCAAAAAGCCCCTTTTCAAATAATCAAGACATTTCCTATGTCCAGAAAACATTCCTTATTTAGTTTTCAAAGTGATAATCTCCTTAATAATAAACTATACCTATTTTCAACAGCAGAGATACTGAATAGCCCCAAAGGGGCCTGGTTTTGCAAAACTGTTATCAGAGTTTGAACAGGTGCCCCTAGTCTAGCACCTCCAGTTGGGTTAAACAAGGTGCAGACAAAATGCTCATCCATTTCTGGCTCCGTGTCTAATATGGCAGATATGTGTAGGGCCTGAAAATAAAATCAAAAGATGCAGTTATTAGAATACAGTCTGCCACAAACACACACAGAGAACTTTATTCAACATTTTGACAACAAAATAATGTTTTCAGAAATATCATCTCTTTTCCTTGTACTAATAATCCCCACAGTGTGATAGCTATAACTGTTTCAGTGTACTACTTTGCAGATTTTCAAAACAGGGACATATTGCAATGAAGTGTCTAAAAAAATAAATATTTTAAGTATTTAAAAATAATACCCATTAGAAGGTTAAATTCACATCTTCCTTTTTGCTAACTTCTTATGCTGCCCTGACTATGTAGCTTTATTCATCCCACTGTGAGCCAGGATTCACTGTTCAACCATAGTAATAGCAGTAGCAGGTACCAGTCAGAAACAACCCAAATCTTCACAGCGGGGCATGGATCCACCAACTGGGACCTCTACTGAAACCCTACTCAGCAATAAAAGAAGAAGAAACAGCTACGATACTGAGTGACAGGAGTTAAACACAGAAGAGCAGAGACCATATGATTCAGCTTACACAGGGCTTAAGAACCCTGTGTAGAACGGGTCTATAATTATCCACATTAGGAAGCGGTTTCCTCTGAATTTGTATCATTTCAGGATTTAAGTGGGTCTTCCAACAGTTAAAAGTTGTAAATTTCCAAGAACATAAAAAAAGCTGACCATGAAAGTATGCTGAGTTTACACAAACTTATCCTGAGAAAAATTACTTAACTAGATGAACTGTTTAAAATGAAAGAGTTATAAGTATACTGCTTTGGAGTTATATTTTATATGGCCAGCTTGAAAAAGTCTAAAGTTAGTATAATCATCTTAAATTTAAACTGTTTTAAAAAATAAAGCTTAATAATAGGAACAGAAAATTAAATATGTAGAAAAAGAAGTTTGGGAGATCAACTTCTGTTAGATGACATTCATAATTAAACTCAAATTCAGCATTTTTTCTTCTATATACTATTCCTATTCTCAGACAACTCATCTAAAACAAGCCATTACATTTTGTTCAGTTAACTGGTGGCAAGAAGAAACAGCCGAGTGTGGCCTGGAACTTTTTTAGTTTATGCTGAATATACAACATAAAGGGGCCACACCACCGAAATGGGCTTGGAGTTTAGAATAGCTCTTCCTGGTTTTGTTCCCTGTCCGTCCCTCTACCCTATGAAGAGCCCACTGCTCCAGCTGCAGCTTTTACAGACCGCAGCGCCACTCTTGTGGTTCTCTCTTCAAGTCTTTACCTAAAACCTTAACTGGGAATGTTTCTTTCTTCCTTTGAGGACCCAGCGTGCACCTTTAGAGAAGTCATTTGTAACAGTAAAGCTAAGCTTCCTTTCTCATGAAAGAGCAGGCATGCTGTACCTTGACTCGGACTCCTTCTTCTAAAACAATGTAGCCCCTGGAGGGGGTCAGATCCTCGGACTCCTCCGAGGAGTTCACCCCGGTCACCACGAACTGCACGGTCACGGTCCCGAACAGCCCGTGCGCCGGCTCCCGGACCACGTAGAGCACCGCGACGCTCTCCTGCACGTGGACAGCCGCCGGCTCTCTCAGGAGAAAGTGCTTGGTGTTGTTGAAGGACAGGACTCCCGGGCCATCGTCATTTGCGAGGATGGTGATCACGGCTGTGAGGGCAAAGAACGGCAGGATGAAAGGGAACAGAACGGGACAAGTTCAAATGCTGGAAGGAGCGTGGCTGTTTCTTGTAAATGAGGCCAGTTCTTTACCTATGGTCATTATTTCAAGAAAATCTTTTTAAAAAGAGGAAAACTGTTTAAAGCACTTAACAAAATTCTACATTCCCTTGTGGTATAAAAATAGTCTATCACCTTGGAAGAGAAAGCAGGTTTGTCAAGCTGTGGAGTGATATCTCCGAGGAGTCACTCGCCGTACCACATTTACTGTTGAAAGAGTGAAAGCGTGACCATCACAAACAGAAACAATACATGCAGTGGAGTCGCTCATCCCTGCCACAGATCACAGAGTCCTCGGGGCATCGTTCTGAAAACAGGTACAAAGAATGAAAAGAAACGGTGGAACTGGCACTATTTTCTAAATGAAATGCTTGTCTACTAAGAAAATGCACAAGAAGAAAATTATTAGAACTATTCTAAGAGCCAACAACACAGGCTTAGCAACCTCCAAAAATCAAGAGCTTTCTGTTTTTACAGCCATTCATAAAAATAGTAGTAACTGCAACAACCAATACTATCAAAATCTTACTAATTTTTGCATCCATGTATAACCTATTTAATTTTCCCAGGAACTCCACAAGGTTGAGTGTATTATTATTCCCACTTCACAACTGAAGCACGGCCATCCAAAGTTCAAAAGCTAGGAAGCAGCAGAGCCGTGTGCAAGGCCAGGAAGTGTGCCTGGCAGCACACACGCTTACAGACTGTCACACACAACGCATGTGTGCATGGGCTAAGGCTAGCGGGTCTAAGCAGACCAGCGAAGGGGCCTCACCCACAATAAGAATGCACCTGGATGTTAACCTGAAGACCCCAAAGCCCATGAGAAGAAAATCACAACACTGCAATGCGCGACTGTGGTGAGTGCTGCTGCGTGTTACAATGTCCCTGTCCCGCATCCCACTCTTGGGCACACGCAGCAGTTCCGAGCTTCCCAGCGCTTTCTCTGTGCCTGAGGGGATCACTGACCCATGAGTGTGAGCCCAGCATTGTTGCAGATGTGGGACCTGAACTCCCAAGGGCAGCTCCTGCAGGGACGGGAGCCCGTGAACCAACACCCAGCTGCCTCCTCCTCAGGAGGAGAGAGTCCGAGCTTCACTCAGCACAAGGTCACAGACATCAGCAGGACTGAGAGCTGCCCGTGGTTACACCACATCTTCTATCAGCTTTGGACAGGTGAGAGTTTCCCACTGAAATTCAATGGCTAAGGATGTTCATTTTCTTTATGACAGCAGGGCATCGCTTTATACAGTCTGGGACAAAAATACCACTGTAGCCTTGTCTCCAATGCTACATTCCCTGCATGTTAAATAATAAATGTAAATAAAAATGATGATAAAGTATACTTTTCATAATTATTTTATTCTAATATTTTAATGCAGTAAAATATTTTAGAGTGTTTGGATGGAAAGAAATAAATAGGATTTAACAAATTTATTAGAAAATACTTGCTATTTTAAGCTTCTGAATAAAAGGCATCATAATAAATTTAAAAGAGAAATGCCAGTCCAGGAGAAATAGTTGTAATGTATTTAGGAAATGAAGGACTGACTTTACATAGTGAGAATATTCCTATAAACCAATACAAACACAAGCCACAGAAAAGTGCACAAGGGACCTAAAAACAGAACTATACAAAGGAAAAATGACCAGAGTCAAACTCACTAATAAAAGGAAAATGAAGGAAAAAGTGTGTAAGAATGTACCATATGACCATATAGTTTTCTTTTTCTTTTTTTTTTTTTTTTTTTTGTTTGGTACCAGGAATCAAACTCATGACCTCAGGCTTGCCAGAGAAGCGCTTATGCCACTGAGCTATATCCCCAGCCCCTGACCTCATATTTTTCATTCACTGGAACCAGCATAAAAATTAAAAGACATGGCTAGCTTCCTGCCCCGTAGGCCCCCGGAGGGAGGGCCCCCAGCGCACGGGGAGTCACGGGCGGGGAGCGCCGGTCTTCCAGCTGGCTAGCTTCCTGCCTCATAGGCCCCCGGAGGGAGGGCCCCTGGTGCATGAGATCTATCATGACACAGAGAAACAATGACACAATTGGCCCACCATGCACCAACTGCAGATGCCCACCCACGGACATGTGTGAATCTTTCAAACTTTGAACAACCCCTGGGAATACATGCCATACAACGGGCCACTCTTGCTCCTGCCATTGAGAACCAGAAAGGTCCAGAGCCAGCGGAGGAGCAGCTGCTGAACAAGGACTCAGAGAACATGAGAAGGCAGACTAAGCCCATGGAGTCAGAGGTCCTGTGGACTGGGGTCACAAGAGCCGCTTGGAAGCTGTAAACCAGGAGGACCTTGCACAATACCTGCAGAGACTCCCTGGAAGCCATTCCTCCCCTGACAGTACAGGCTGTGGAGGGGCTCTGGAGAAGTCTGCAGCAGGATTCCTTCTGCCTGTGCTCACAGTTGGGGAGAGGACACTAACTGGTTGTGGGGTCCCAATGCGATGGGAGGCTAGAGAGAAAACACTACAAAAAATGGCTTTGGCCCCACACGGCTCACTTGATTTTTGACAACCCTTAGGCTGTAACTACTTGTTAGATCCTTCTTGTGTATCTCTGTCTTCCTGAGAAACCACTTTGAAGATACCACCATGTATTACAGCAGTCATTGATATTTTCCTACTAATCTATCCATAACTCTGTAATGTTTATATTGTTCCTATCCTACTTCATAAAGGGACCCATGTTTATTATTATGTGTTTCCTACAACAACCATTGAGAATTATTGAATGATTATTCAGTAGATCACTCATGTATAGTTCTATTTATATTCTTCAGAAGCCACTTTGAAGATACCTAAGTATAGTACAACTCTTGATAATCTCCTACCTCTTTTTGTCTGTAACTCACTATCATTTGTCTATTTGTTTTCCTGAGAAACTATCTTGTAGATAACAATATGTAAAACAATAACCATTGATAATTTCCTACCACTTTGTCTGTAATTTGGTAAGCCCCCCCATTATTATGTTATCCTTCTTTTACTCTCTAAAATTAAAAAAAAAATTAAAAGACAAAAGAAATACTGGTGAAGATGTGGAGAAACCACTGTGGGAGCACAGGGTGCAGAAGAGATGGAGGCAGCGGCCCTGTCCACACTCCACACCCACTGCGCTCACCACGGTCCCAGTGGTGCCCACTAACAAAGGCTCAGACCCGAGGGCACTGACTAAACCTGTACGAAAGTTTGGCAGCAATCCAATGTCCGGTAATAAGCCATGGTTTAAGATAGATCCACTTTCAAAGCACCTATTGTTTTGAGAGATTTTTAAAATACAGAAAATCACAAGTATAAAGTAAACTGAGCAGAGCCCACTGATATACTCCTCCCTCTCACACAGGGTGGTGGGCACGTAAGCAGCATAATCCCGATCAGGATTATCTGAAGATTTAGGAATGCCTGAATTTGAGTGCTCGCTCTCTTTCCTGTTAGGTGGAATGCAGAACGACGATGCTGACCACTGCCTTCCTTGTAACAGTGGGTAATGTTAGCCTTGGGATGAAGCCAATATTCCAAAATGGCAAAGAGACAAGAGGGAAGGCAGCAGTCTCTTTGGAGGCAATAAGTCCTGCTGCTACCTCATCGAAGGCCATATGTCTCTGAACCCTCCGATGAAATCCATTTGAACTGAATTTTGAATTGTTTATACACAGACAGTTCTTAACAAACACACAGCGTCCATTCCCACAATCCATAGAGAGTTACCTGTAACTCTATGTTCTACAAGGAAATCGTTTCATCTCAAATATATGCTCTCTGAATATGAAACTACAGCCATGTCCTTAAAAACAGGTTTCTGGAGACTTAGAAATATCACTATATTTTATCAATACACCAATAAACTAACGCAATTCAGCAAAAAAACTAAAATTCAATCTTCAGTTACTCAAAATTCTTTCTTATTTTTCACCCAAATCAAACTTTTTTTTTCCACAGGAAGGGCATTAAGTGAGGAATACAAAGGCTAATTAACTTAAAATCCCAAAGAATGCTCAAACCACTAGCTGAAATAGGAGGCTGAAGAGTCAGTCGCCATCGTCCTGTAAATCCAGCTGGCCTGTCTAACATGTGAAGGATCTGAAGTGACTGGGGCAGGGGAGGCGGCGCCTCACACATGCTGAGCACACACTCTCCCATGAGCTACTCCGCTCATCCATTAGAGGGCGTGCGTAAGAGCCCTTCTAACCCCGTGTTCTGTATGTTCATGAGGTTTCCGCCTTTGTTCTTCTTTCACTTTCTCTAAGGAATCAGCATCTAACAAGCAGTGAAACAGGATGAGTCTTAGTGACAACATCAAACTCTTGAAATGAAGAATTAGGGCTGGGATAATGCAAGGAACTAATACCCTCCACTCTACGCAGAATACTGTGGCAGTTGGGGGACACTGAGAAACACGTTGGTCACTCTGCCTACAGCTAAGAAGGGAGCCAGAGCAGAACTCACATTGCGAAGAGAAGGCACCTGCAGATTAAATACCGTTGTGATATTAGAGGAAAGGCTTTAACATTGCCTTTAGTACCATGCGGTGACCTGCACAGTGAGCAGGGTCCTAGAGGGGGCAATGAGAGATTAAGAAGAAACAAAACACATAAAAGGAAAGCCGGGACTGGGTGGGACCTGACCTGTCTAACGGAGAGGCAGCAACAATGCAGCACAGTTTGCATCTTTATTTATACACAGTAAAAAGGAGAGGAAGTGCTCAACAGGGCCAGAAGTGCAAGGTCTCAGTGTTTTGCTGAGAACACTGAAAACAAAACATTCTCAGAGCTATCCGTGCTGTAGTTCACAGGGAGGAACACCCAAGGCCAGACACCTGCTGCACTGGCTTTGCGCTGGTCCCAACTACCTGTCTATATGGCTTGCCTCTGGCACTTTGTGTTTTGGGGGCTGGCCTTGCTCTAGCCCCCAATGCATGGTCAATGTCCAGCTCAGCTGCTCCCCAAGGTACCAACCTAGTTTTGATTTTTAGCATAAGTACACATACACAAATACACACAGGATAATGCACCATTTCACTGACAGGGATTCTGAAATGCTTAATTTAAAATACCTCTTGTCCCCATAGTCGGGAAACCAGCGTAATGCAGAGGGGCTATGGAGAGGGAATCATCAATTACCTATTGTGTTTTCTCCCAGCTCCAGTCCAGGAGAAGGATTTGTTAATATGAGCTGAAATTTTTCATCTCCTTCTGGTGTGTCATCATCCAGGATCACAATGTCTACGTTTTTATACCTTTCTCCATCAGCAAAGTGAAGAATCTGGTCAAAAAGGTAAAAGAAACAGTTTTATATTTCAATACACTCTGAGGCTTTATAAAATGTTTGGAAAGCAATACAATACAATTGTAAATGTAAAGAACAGGCTACTTTACAGGAAATTCTTTTCCTTATTTTTTGCATGATACCTTTTTTATTTGAGCAGACAATATTTTAGTTTAAAAATTAAAGGTTATGGAGGAAAAAGTAAAAGTAAACATCCAGTTAAGAAATAAAAGTCAGGAAGAGATAAAGTAAAAAGTACTTAAAAACAGTAATGGTGTTTCAATAAGTTAAAAGCAAACTGAGTTAAAATTTTCAAGAAGCATAAAAAAAATTCTGAGGTCATTTCATGTAAAAATTTTTTAACACAAAATTCCATGTTCGCTAGTATCAAATATTGTGATAAAATAATTCATGAACACAGAATAACCTTTAGAATAGTACTGAACATTCAAACTACATTATTTGGTAAAATAGTGAAATACATGATTCCACCCTCTGAAAATATTTTTTTCCTAACTTACTGTGAAGTAGCTTATATAATATTTCATTAAGATTAATTTATTTCTGCAGGACCTCAGTCCTGATAATTTAGAAGGAATAATGACGAAAGAGTAATTTATAAAAGTGACCCGCGATCACCACTGAGACCTACCATTGGGGTGAAGATGTAGTCCAGCCCCAGCTGGGCTTCCACGTTCTGGGCATACACAAACAAGGACACCTGGCCCAGGGCCTCTTTCCTCCGCTGGGCTGCCAAGGTCACACTTCCGTGGGACTCGCTTACTTCAAATCTATAATAAAGAGAATACATCCCCTTTCGTGTATAAACTCCTCTGTGGGAGACCATAACTCAGAAAGAGCCTTCGCACAGCCATGGGCTCACCTGCTACTCTGCCACTCGATCACGCCACGGGCACCATCGTTGGCATCGATAATGATCTGTGCGGTCAAGCCTTCTGCATCTGAAAAAGCACAGGCACGTACTTTAAAATGAGTATAAATTTATTAATATAGAGCTTACTTAAAGTTCCCTTTAAAAGCACTGTTTGATACAGCATTTAGACCTCCCTTTGAGTTGATGTGACTCCTAATATACAGGATGGCTGACATGACTCCAAAGATGATTCCAGAAAGTACAGGCACAAATGCTCACAGTGTCTGAAAAAGGATGCTCTTGCTTATAAGAGCCACTGAGTTACAGAAGTTAAAACAGCTAAGAACAGCATGAAATAATAAGCAATGGAACATATGGCTTTACTTGCTATTTTAATTTTTTAAAAAAAATGACACCTTTACAATACGACCACTTTGGGAGGTAGGGAAATAGGCACCCTCCAAAGGAGAAAGGCAAGAAAAGCGGAAAGAGCGAGGAGAGAAGAACGGCAGGGAGTGGTGTGGGAAGCGCAGGAGCGGAGCAGAGACCCGGAGAGACCGGGCACCACTACACAGGAGGAAAGACGGCAAGCAGGACACAGTGAGACAAAGGACACGCACTTCCTTAGCCTTTTTATCTTGTATTCCGTGAATGAAGTGTAGCATGTTACTAATACAGGACCTACTACTTCATCCTGAAATATTAACTCCTCTTGTTACTGGAGCTTGTTAATTTTTTTTAAAAAAACTTTTTGTCCTTTATCCTAGTTTAGGATACTCCTGACTCTGCCAAGGCGGGAAGGAAGGAGGAAGAGTGTCATTTTCTCTAGACCAGTGGGGCGACCCTCTCAGACCCTTCAGGGCTAACAAAGAGCCCACTGCTGTCCTGTGCCACAGGTTCACCACCGCTGCAGCAGCGGTGTCCCGAGAGAACAGAAAATCAGGATGGGCACCCCTCGAGCAAGAGGGTAGAGCAGAGATTCTAAAACCAGAACGTGCCGTGAAAGCCTAGCTCGACCGCTTCCCAGTGGTGTGGTTTGGGGCACACTGGCCAGCTTCTCTCAGCCTCTGCTCCCTCATCTACAAAATGGGAAGATGTAAATGCAGCCGGTCCCAGCAGGAGCTCAGCGGAAGTCAGCAGTTCCAGCTACACTCAACGTGAGCACGAGAAGCAGGAAGTACTGCAGTAGCTTCTTACTGTGAATAATAATCACCCCACAGAGCCCTGATGTAACTGGGTGTAATAGTTGATGTAACCCTGATGTAATAGTCACTGGAGCTATTTAGTTTATTTTACAAAAGAACTGAAACCTGTTGAATACTACTATATAGGAAAATAATTATTTCTTTTCAATGCTGTTCCACATGCCACTGCATTGGTCCAGCTTCTCCTCTAACCCATGTTGATCTCCCATGTCTAGCGCACCTTCTACCCATGGGGTGGGGCCAAGGGCTAGGCTACCCTCATTGCTGCTCACCACCACCCCCTACTGGGCAATGGCACCTACAGCCATTCCAAACTGCAAACAGGCGTTTGTGTCCAAACAATACATTGAATTAAGAGAAATCTACATAAATTTGTATCAACATTGAAGTTTTACCTTTCAGTCTGTAATGAATTAACTGAGTGTTTTCTAAAAGCATGAAAAGAAAAAGATCAACGGTCAAAAGAAGCAGGAAACACAACAAACAAAAGATCTGCTTAACCTAAAAGAAAATAAGAACATCTCAGAGTTTGGAGCTTTAATAAAATGGATAATTAAATTTTAAAATAAAGTGAAAGGAAAATACCTTCCAAAACACTAATACTATTTTGAAGATTAAATGTATTGCTATAAAATAGTTGTAAAGATTATGACACAATAATATTTATTATCTTTGTAGTATTAAATGTACAGACTATAATAATACTTTCTAAATTAAAATAAATATAAAAATCCACATTTTCACACATAACTGAGATTGACAAACATCACAATTACCACTTCTGATCAAAAAATGAAGTTATGTCATTTAAAGTGCATAAAAGAAACAAACAAAAAGCCCATCATACCTAATCTGGGAGGAAATGAAGTTACAGGAGACATGATGAGCTCAACAGAAGTTAAATTCACCAGAAAGTATTCTTTCAGCTCCGGTATAGCATCCTGAAAAATTAACCCCATTACATTCCTTCAAGTACGTTCTCAAAAGGAATGAACTCTCAAAAGCTGTTTTTAAAATGTTTCTTACACATACATTTGCATAAGCGGTATACAGAAAATATTAAATTTTAAGCAAATAGTAGAAATTATTTAAATTAGAAAAACAAACATAAAAGCACTAAACTTATACTTGGTTTATAAGCAGTTGTTAGACTGAGCATGTGAAGCCACTTAAAAGTAATAGTTTAGGGCTGGGGATTTAGCTCAGTGGCACAGTGCCTGCCTGGCAAGCGTAAGGTCATGAGTTCAAGTCCCAGTACCAGGAAAAAAAGAAAAAAAAAGTAATAGTTTAAACCTAGACACATATAATAGATAAACCAATTATATAAATACACACACATCATTATTTTAAATATAACATGAACAGAAGATTTTAACTGTCTATAATATCGAATATTTAAAATGAATACCATTGTGGCATGAAAAAAATACAGGCTTTGCAGTCAAGGAGATCTAGAACCAAATTCTCTAATTTTAGTAAGTACCAATTTTACTCAAATTTTAGGGCCTTGATTCTATCATCTTTATATTAGGGAAAATAATAGCTACTTTGGGGTAGGGTTGTAATAATAATGAAAAATAATGTATTACACTGCCTAGTCTACAAAGAATGTCTTTAAAATTATAGCTATTATTATTATTATTATCAATGATAGCTAATTACTATTAATTCACATAATGGTAATGAAATCAGGCAGGTGCCCAGAACATAAGGGTTAGCAAAATTGGTGTCAGGAGTGAAAAGCCAATATTTACACAGAAACTCAATGTTTGTATATGTGTGTGTGTGTGTGTGTGTGTGTGTGTACATGTGCAAGTGTGTATGCAAAAGATCAGTATACAGACAGTAAGTATACTGATCAGTCCACATTATTCATTTTATTGACTGGATATTTGTTTTCAAGTGAAAACCCAGAGAGTGAAAACTTATTCTTATCTTATGTAACATATGGAAAATGTAAGTTAGAGAATCAGTGGTATGAAAGGGCTGTCCCCCACTACTTCCATCACCCCTAGCCCACACTACAACTCCCTGCTCGTCATCTGTAGGGTTCAGACTGAGAATGGCCTCCAAGCGGCTTCTGGAAGAGGATTAAATGATGGGAGTGATAGAGCTGACTTATTGTTAGGAGGTGGGGTCCAGTCAAAAGCGCTGGCATGACCTGGAAGCAGTAGAGTGACCTGGAAGTGGTGGCGTGACCTGGAAGAGCATATTCCCTCCCTGCTTCCTCCCTTCCTTCTATGGCTCCTGGCTGCAATGATGTGAGCAGCCTTCCCCTGCCATCCCCTCTACCATGCTGTCCTGCCCTGGAGCCAGCCCACCATGGCATGTCACCATGAACCAAAATAAACTTCTCCTTTAAGTGGTAGGTGTCGGGTGTCAGGTCTCAGAGACAGGGCAAGTGACTAAACACTGCTCTCCAGGGTGGCCTGCTTTTTATGTCAGGGCTACAGTGTTTTAATCTACTGCTACTCAAGGAGCAGAAAAAGTTGCAGGGCCTGGAGATTTAGCTCAGCGGCACAGCACCTGCCTGGCAAGTGCAAGGTCGTAAGTTCGATTCCTGGTATGGGGGGGGGAGGGGACAAAAAGGAAAAAGTTGCAAAGAGCTAGGACAAACAAAAGGGGAACTGAAACCCCAGGTTCAAAAAACTAGACTCTAGGTAAAAGAAAGGTGCTATATATTTTCTGGTTAAAAATTAACATAACTAAGGAATAATCCACTTAATTGTATTTGATTACATTAACAGATGAGACATCTGAGAGATGACTTCATCTGGATCTATTTATGTCATAAAAATTCATCAAGTTGTGCATTTATAGTTTCATGCTCTTATATTGCTGTGTTTTCATCAAATTATGTTAAAAACATAGAAAAGGATGCTTTTCCTACAATTTTTTTCAACTCCTGCATTACCTGCTACCTAACTGCCATACTATTACCTTTCAGCTTGTGGATTTAGGTTTTTCATGGTGTTACCTTAGGTACAGTGCCATAGTAATAAACAAAATACTTACTAACTACAGATAGTACATAGTTTACATTACTTAGAGTTAAATAAAAGTAAAAAGCCTTTGAGGGAATAAAACCTTTTAAAAATGAAACCCCCCAAATACATAGCGTAGTAATTGAAGTTGTTTTCAAATGTAATGTTCATTTGCTCTTCCTCATACATTCTATCCACTACCCTTTCTATAGCACTATTTTTATAAACCTCTTATAAATGTATTTAAGCAACCAAAACACTATGTCCACAAATAGCATGAGATTTCACAACATGAGAAGTCACTTCAAATACAATTCAGTCCCAGGGACTTCTTTAGGCTTGACCGAAATCATTTCTGCCTCCACCTCTAGTGAGTGTGCGCTATCTCTGCTTCTGCGGGTCTGCACACAAAGATTCCGACCTCTACAAATGTGCTGGTCCAGCGGGTCGTTTGGAGTCATTAAAGGGCTCCTTGCGGACCTGTCAGGCCAGTGCCGTGGTAGAGGGAAATGCACTAAGGAGATTCTGTTTATCGCAAGGTGTTTCTGTGATCACACATACAACAGCAGGCCAGCCCTTCTAACCACAAATAGAAACTCCTGGGTGGTTTGAAAAAAAAATTGTGAAAAGAAATAAGCCGATTTCAAAATACCAGCAGAGCGGAACCAATCACACTTAAAGGAGCCAATCAGAGGGGCTGGGGATTTAGCTCAGCGGCACAGCGCCTGCCTGGCAAGTGTGAGGTCATGAGTTCGATTCCTGGTACCGGAAAAAAAAACAAAAAAAAACAAAACAAAACAAAAAAGGAGCCAATCAGAAATGCATTCACTAAGTTTCTAGAGATTATAGTTATAAAATATACAAAGTTTACATGAAAGGAAAAATTATACATATATATATTATTTTTTTACACTGCTGGGGATGGATCAAACCCAGGGTCTCACACAGGCAAGGTAAGTGCTCAACTACTGAGCCACATCCACAGCACAGAGTCATATTATTTTAACATGGAGAAAACTGAAAGTTATTACATAATCTTGGTCCTCGCAAAACTTTATACCTTAAAATGAGAAGTTACGAGAAGTCTCTTATTAAATGTGACTGCTGATGTTGTAGAATATTCCACCAATTCCTCCTTCCTATTGGTGACTTCAGGTTTAATACGATCATACAGAAACAGCATCAGAGTTTTACCTCAAGCACAGAAATGTTGATGGCCGCGGCCGTTTGCCCTTCTTCTAAAATCAGAAAGCCAACTACCGGGATGAAATCAACTCCCGGCTCCGCTGGGTTTCCTTCTGTTTGATTCTTCAGACTCAGCGTTCCAGGCACCGTGGTATATGTGACATTGATAGCCCCTGATTGAAGTGGATGCAAAAAGATTTTAGAATTAGTTAAATTTCGAAAACAAGGTCTCCTGTGAACCCTGCCTTTCTTTTAGCACTGATGGAACCTTTCATTAATGGCCCGAATTCATCCCCTCCTCCTGGATCCGACAGGACCTCTCATTATTGGTCCAAATCCATCCCCTCCTCCTGGACCCGTGACCTTCAGCTCGAAGAGGTCCCACAGCACACACTGCCTACTTCCCTGCCTCTGGACTTTGAGTGTGGGTGGCCGTGCGGCTTGTTTGGCCAACAGTGTAAGGTAGGAGAAAGGATTTGCTACTTCGAAGCCTAGAATTCCCAGGCCTTGCGTGTTTTCACTTGCAGCTCCAGCCTCAACTCCAGAGAGAATTAAAAACAGGGAGAAGAGCCAGTCTGGCCAAGGCCACCTAACTGATGGACCCACAGCTGGTCAACCACCATACCATACAGTGTTGAGAATTCGTCACTGTCCAGTACACAGGATTTCTGTGAAAATAAGTGACTCTATTACTGGTTTCAAAAATGAAGATGTTATAAAGCATTGCCCTGAATTAGTAAATATTAATTTTTTTCCTTTCTTTGCTTATTTTCATAATGACTTCACCCTACACAAATAGGATACTAAAAATCCTTTGCCTGCAAATCCCATTTACTCTAGAGTAACACAGACCTAGAGATCCAAATTCTCGATTGATGAAAAGCTGAACCGTCACATTAGCCTCCTGTAGTAAAACAAATCTTGATGAAAGAGCAAAATTTAAAACTCCATGCGGTTCATCGCTGGCTTCGACTGTCAAGACAGCGGCATATCCTTGTGTGTCAAGCAGAGCCATTCCTGCTGGTGGAACCCCTAGAAATATCAGGGACCCCATCAGGAAATCTAACCATGATTTAACATTAACTTCTAAACACTTAAAAGTACTAGGAAGCATACTAAAGGAACCAAAAAGGGTTCTACTTTATTCACATCCCTAACAGACATCTTCAGGTCAACAAACAAAATCTGTATTCTATTCTTCTTAAAGATGGCAAGTCGTGATTTTTTTCACTTGATAAGAGTATTGCCCTTAATGGCTGCATTGTTTAGCAGAATTATAGAAATCGAACAGAAGCTGAAGAAAGTATCCAGATAATTTGCTCAAACATGAGTAAATTTGAATTGCCCGTGTACTGTATTGTAATTGTCCAAAATCCAAACTGATCGGTTAGCATAAAATTACTTTCAGAAATTTCTACCTTTGGAAGTACATTTTAATTCCATAAATAACTAGCAACATTTTTAGTACTTTTTCCTCAGTCCATAAAGATAAGCATTCTCATATTCTACTAGAGTTTTCTGGATCTAACATTTCTATGGGTCAGACATCTAAAGCAGTATTTTCAAATTGGTAAATACAGAGATAGCAACTACTGTTTCTTTATTTTTTTTTCCTAAAAACAATACCAAAGAAAACTCAAAATTGAATTCTAAACTACCTTGCGTCCTGACATCGTACAGAACAACTTGGTATACTTCTTTCTCCTCTGGAACGCTGTCATCCAGTAGATGCACAAATATTGTTTTATTCAATGTCCCCTGTGTCAAAAAGAAAGAAATCCATACCTGTAATGTTACTGAACATAAATTACCTCTTGCTTTTATTGGTCTTATATGTACATCCAAATATGTCTTCATTTAAACAAGAATTCTGTGAATTAAATAAGAATCACTGGCTCACAGAAAAACAAGCTTAAAGGAGACAGGAGCTAATTGTGAAAGTTTTGAATAATGAGCTAATCAATGAAAATTTTATCCAAATTCATAGTAAGGGAATGTGAAGAAGAGAGAATGATGCTTTTTTGTTTGTTTGTTTGTTTTTGGTTTTGTGGCCTTTTTGAGACAGGGTTTCACTACGCAGTTCAGGTTGGCTTTGAACTCACTTTGAAGCCCAGGCTGGCCTTGAACTTCCAGCAATTCTCCTGCCTCAGCCTCCTAATTGCTAGAATTACAGGCATGTACCACCAGGCCTAGCTGAGAATGATGGTTTCTACAATACAAGTGGTGTTGATTTTCTATTCTATTTTCCTCAAAATACAATGTTTTGGGGTTTTTTCTAGAAATTTGTATTGAAGCTTTTCTTTACAGTATTACCTCATGGAAGAAGAGTTGTCCAGTAAGGTTAACAAAATTGAGTTCTAGATTTTGCCCAATAATTTTCCAGTCAACAGTAACATTTCCTCGACCAGGAGGGGTTCTTATCACATGGAATTGCAAAATTTCTCCTAAAAGAAAAATGCATAGATGGATAAATGTTAGTGGAAAATGAACTTAATACTTGAGCTCAATAAAAACCAAATTTCAAGCATGCAACTACTATAGTAGGGCACTTTTTCCAAGAACAAAACTTTTCTGGTTTGAACTTTCTAGAAGCATTATACATGCTTATTGTTTATTAATGCAAGGATCTCATTTCTAAGTACTTCTCCATTTAAGATAATTTCTGGAAATACAGGGTGGAAGAGCTATAAAAGTACATGCTACAACAGGAAACACAAACTTGTATACACTCCAAAACATGCACCAGAACGCAAGTGTTCTGTAAGTTAAAGAAAACAATAAAGTCCTCAGAGTCAGAACTAGTAAGAGCACAAGTGAATTTCCCTTCACTTCTCAAAAGGAAACAAATTCCTTACACTGGTATGCAATGTGATTTTACACAATGCATGCATAAAAATGCTTGCAAATACCTGAAAATCACATTTCTTTAGATTATAACTTACATATACCATCAATGATTTTGATTTATAAAAAGAAATACAAAGGAAAGGTGTCAAATCTATACATCAAGGTCTGTAACTTCACCCAAGTTACAGTTACCCTTCCCCGATTACTGAGTATTTCAGACATTTTCTATTCCTGGCTTTTATCCTCATGTAATATTTTATAAAACTAAAGAAAATCATGGAAGATATTTCTTTCAAATTGGGAAAAGTGAGAAGAAAGCTGCTTGGAAGAATGATGGGGTCTTTGTGGCTTGCTGAAAAGATGCTCTATTCATTAGTTTTATATGATGACAAATATAAGCTAAGGTATATTAAGGAACAGTATTGCTGAAATTCTTTTTTTTTTTTTTTTTTTTTTGGAAGTTAACAGTGGTTGTTATAGTACATATTGTTATCTTCATTGAAGTTGCTCAGATCACCAGATGTAAGAATGGAAAACTGGCCAAACAATTAAAGAGAACAGAAAGAAAAAAACCTTAGAAACAATACAGAGTTTCATTAATCAAGATAGCAGGGATTCAACAATGGTTGTTACATTGTATACTGTTGTCTTCAAATTTGTTGTTCAGATTATCAGATATAATTATGCAAAACTGGCCAGAAAAAGGAAAATTTAAGCATTAACTGTTCTTTTAATAAACCAATAGATACCAGCAGTACAATTCTCCCAGCTATCCTTGTATATCCATATATATTTTTCCCTTCTTTCTTTCTTTTCTCCTGTCCCTCATCCCAGTTGTTCCTTTCCTTTGAGCGACTTCTTCCCTTTCACAGTATCTATTGTACCTTTCAGGTTTTATTTACTTTTTCAGGTTCTTACACTAGGGTCTCTAGTTGCATCTATTTTCCTATAAAAGGCTCAAGTTTATCTTTTTTTACAGTGAAATACAATTCTTATAAAAATATAAATATAACAATGTGTAAAAGACTTTGGAAGAAACACATCCTTACATTGTGAGCACATCCATACAGTTGAAATCCATGAATATTCACAAAAATGTCAATTTTACTTAGCTACCAGGTAGTTTTCTGTATATAAGTAAAATCTTTCAATATATTTTAAATAAAGGGACTAGAAATAAAACAAAACACAAATCTTTTTTCTAATAGTTTTTCAAACTACTGTAGTTTTTCATTTCTCAAGATAATACACCTAGAAACATGTTTATAATATGAATTTATCCAAAAATATTGATTAATTAGAGGCTATCTTAAAATTCGCTACTAAAAAACAAAATACATTTTTCACGCTGTTTAAATGTATAACTCTAGTACAATGAATTGTTTTAGGAGGATGCTAACTACACATAATTAGGTGAAAGTGCCAGAAATATTTTCAATATATTTTAAATACTTCAGTACAAAAAATACCTAATCTCCATGCACTAGTAGGTTGCGTCTTGGATTTTTTTAAGTGTGTAGGAACTGATAGGAACCAAATTTTTCAGCTGTTGAAAGTGTATAATCACTCATAGTTGCCAGTATACCACTTAAATTTTTATTTTATTTTTATTTTTATTTTTATTTTTTTTGAGACAGGGTCTCACTATGCAGTTCAGGCTGGCCTTGAGCTCACTTTGTAACCCAGGCTGGTCTTGAACTTGCAAAGATTCTCCTGCCTCAGCCTCCCAAGTGCTGGGATTACAGGTGCGCGCCACCATGCCTGGTGAAATTTTTATATTTGTTTAACACATATAAATAAAATACAGACCCTACTATGAAATCCTGGAGTCTATTTTACAACATATAGAATTCCAATATAGCAAGTTTGTATCAAAAATTAAGCGCTTATTACTGAAAAGCATAGAGATCCTTGGATTCACCAGAATGTTCCACCTATAATGTTGCCTGGTGACACAAAGAAAAAGCCTTCTAAAGTCAGAGTTTTCCAATTTTTTAAAAATCACAAAAACCTTGTAATAGTTCAAAGTGACAATTACAATATTTTGATCAGGTAAAAAAGAAAGTACAAAGAGAAGACATATGCAAGAAAACAAGATGCAGGTCACTGAGGATCCATGCCGCAAGAAAACCTGTGATCATAGCTATTACAAATATGCTCGCAAGTGTGTACAAGATGCTTGGAAATAAACGCACCATTCTGAGGTGAAAATAAAAATGAAATGTTGAGGGGAGCAAAGAAATCTTCCCACCAACTTACTACATTCAAGTAGCCTTAAAATTTTACACTACTTATCGACTATCACTTCTGGAAATGTAACAGGTTACTACAGAAATAACCTGCAAGAAAATACTGCAAGAAACACAGTCTGAAGCGTACAATACACACAACTAGAAAGGTCAGAGGCTACCTTTCACCAGGCACAGAAGCCCAACAGCAGTCATAGGGAAAAGAAAAACTTAGAAACAAGGGCTTAGTTTTCCAAATCTAAGGCAAACGACAGGAGGAAAGTCCAAGGAAACAGGTATAGGCTCTAAAAACAAATATTTTACAAGGCAGTAAACTGCTTTCTAGGTTTTTTTTCCCCCTGAAGGATGAAGGCATGAGCTGCACCTTCATTTAGGAGTCTGACTACCTTCCGCACTACAGCAAATCATCCGCATGTGAAATCAACACGGCACCCTCAAAGGGGGCGGAGAACTGAGGCCCAGTGGGCCGCCACTAGGAGTGCAGAGGAGAAAGCAACACGCAGGAGTGATGGCGCTGCAAGTCTAGGGAAAGGTTGAGGTTAAGGCATTTACCTGAGCCTGTCTAGTGGGTAGTGGAAGGTAGACACATCTTGTGCTATCTTAACTGCTTGTACTGGACTGGGTGAATAGGGGCGGGATGAGCCAGGCTCTGCCCAGCATAGGCAAGAGCCCCCAGGCCACCAGCATGTTAAGCCGGTTCTGTGTCTGTTTTTCATCCTTGTTCGCCCCCAGGGTCAGGTGACAAATAGTAGGTTAGGTTCCTACAGTGGCTGACACATTTTAAATCTAAGGCAGAAAATCAATCAAATAGTGTCCAGACCAAGTCGTACGCCGATAAAGAATGAGTGAAAAATGCAGTTGAGTAACACTATTTCATCCATTTTTTCCCCAAACCAGGACTCATTTTATAAAAAATAAACCTCAACCACAATGTATATAAAAATAGAAACCCAAAGCACACAAAACATAGTTTAATCGATAACTACATACATGGTATACAGTACTCATATCATCCAACTTGACTGCCGCTACAAAAAAAGAAAATGAGCCTCAAGTGTGTAGGAATAGGAATAATTTAAAGCACACACTGTCAATGTGAACAGATTAAAAAAACGACTTTCCAGGACAGCAGTCCTATATACCTATTCTTTTAAAAAATTACATTTCTTATTCAAATCTCTGGGTAAATAAGATTTACGCTGTCCCTAAGGAAAGAAAAATGTTGAAATCCACTGAAAAAGGCATAATGGTTATTATGCTATGGCGCAGGGTGAGTGAGGGAAAGAGCCAACACAGATTTATAAAGAGCACATTTATAGGCAATGGGCGACCACATTAAAACCCACTGCCCCTTATCTCTAAATTCTGTACATGATATTTGAAAGTAATATTTACCACCTAGCATCTCTCCAAGTGCTTTAGGAAAAGCATAGAAATAGGATTCTACAGAATTCAATACATGGCTAAACACTAAGGTAACTTCTCTGAATCAGAAATGGATTCATGTTAAGGGGAAAAAGAAAAACACTTAAAATTTGTTTCAACTCCTCCTGCCAATAAAAACAATAAATGGAAAAAAAAAAAAAGAGGAAATGGAATCTTAAGCCCCAAATCCAGCAAAAACCCACATTTCAAATCCCATCACATAAACGAAACTCCCACACTGTGCTGACAGCAATGCCAGTGTTGCCGAAAGTCTAGGTAGCATGTTTTTTGAGCCGTATTTGTTTGGCAGTTTTCTTTGAGGAATAACCAAGTTGTCATTAGTTTATAGTGAACACCTTGTAAACTCCTCTTGATGTACACTTCTGTAGGCAATTTTCATGATAACATAAAAAATACATACATAAAATACTGAATTCTACAGGTCTGATGTATAAAATCAATTTACACTCTAGGCAAAGGTTTAGAAATAAATGAAGGGAAATTCAAAGACAAAAATTACCCCTTACTTTTTTTTCAGAAAATGTAAAATAACACAGGGCACATCATGCGTGCCATAAAAGCCTGTCAGCGTTTTCTTTCCTGTTCCAAACTCATTAAAACAAATAGCACATTTGGAGCACTTGTGTTCATTGCAAATCATTTTTTATCTTTGAATCCTGCAGGTATTTAGTTGCCAGAAACTGCAGGGCACATAGTTCAGTTTCTGATGAAACTGCTGCTGCTGACAGAGAACACAGGTGTGGGTGCCGGCAGCTCCTCCAAGACGCTGTGGTAGCCAGCAAGACAGCTTTGTGTCTTCAGAGGCCTTCGGTGCATTATGACCATCACCCCCCAGGGAACTCAAGGATGCACTTTCTTTTTTTTTTTTTTTTCTTGCGGTACCATGGATTGAACTCACGACCTTGCACTTGCCAGGGAGGCACTTATGCCACTGAGCTATATCCTCAGCCCAAGGATGCACTTTCATGCCTTAGAGTTAAAACATCTTTAAATTGCTGCTGGACATCCACATTATTTTGAAATCTTTAAGAAGAAAATTCCATCGCAATGCTGAAGAGTGTCTGCCTAGTCTAGCACTCAGTCCCTTCTTTAATTCAACCTTTCCTGGCCCCTGATGTTATATATACCTTCCAGATCACCAGCATTTGGACAGATTTCCTTTTTATACATTATTTTCCTTCATTACATTTTTTCAACAAAACAAAGACAAATCCAAAATACTCCTCTTCAATCTGTTTTCTCCAGTTCTTCTCCTTTCCTTGCTCTCACTGGCAAAAAGCACTGCTTCACAAACCTTTATGGCATACAGGATATGGCATAAGGTTTGTTTTGTTTGCCTTTATCCATTACAGAGTGACGCTTTCATAGCATACAGTAAGTTGGAGGACTAGTAAGTTAAATAGAAAAAGCACACACACAGAGAATACAAGCCCACAGGTAATGCCTTTGGATATCTTGGCAAAGACAAATTATTTCAAGTATTTCTAATCCTATCTCATGGTACAATGATACCAAGCACTTCCTGTACAGGAACTGACCCGAGGACCTCACGCTGAGGAGCATGCCCCACAGGCCACTGAGGCACTGGTCTTCCTTACTTGTTTGCTTATCCAGAACTTTTTAAAAGTCCTCTACAGCAGCTGCTGTTTTCTCAGGGCCACTTGGAAATCTCTCTCACTTGTTGACAGTCTTAGTGTGAAGCCCACAGATAATTTTCTTCTTCTGGTAATTGATGAGAGGACACTTTCTCCATGGTCCTTTCTGACACCTCTCTCCTTGTGGGCTGTCTTCCTACCCCAGCATCTTAGGTTAGTGTTCCATGTAGTGCTGTAATTGGAGCTTGCTTTTTTCCTCTATCCACAAAGATTGTATTTCCTGATTTTAACCCTTGTCTATGAAAATCCATCTTTCTTTTCTAACCTGAGATGGTTAGGTTCTCTCAGCGATTTCCTTCCCTCCTATGGATATTACTACTCAAACTGATTAGTCTTCTAACTCAAATCACTTCAAATATTTGCCAAAAATTCCTGCATTCTCAGGTTCTGTGGCAGATACAAATTCAAACAAAACGAAGATTCTCCTCACAAGGTGCCCTGCAGAACGGGCTTTGATTCCAACACAGTGAGCTTTCAGCTTCAGCACAGGTTGGTTTCATAATCAGTTGCCTTAGTGTATGCTATTATACCCACTTCATCCACTGCAGCTTCAGTTAATTAAGTAACACTTGTGCAGTAACTGGCACAAAGAAAATGCTCCACAGATGTTCTTGTTATTGTCATTGTTATTGAAGTTAATAATTCCTGCAGCGACTTTTTACTTGTATTACGTTACAAATAATTTTTGATAGTTAAAGATGCATCTTTAGATTGGAACTGTGGCAATTTGTTAGTCGCTCTCACTCATTATTGCGATGACAACCAGCAATTCTGAACCATTAACAGAAGTACAGAGTGTCAGAAAGTGGCTCTAACATTCACATTTAGTGAACGTGTAAGCGGGACACAGCCAGGGGAAGGACATGCCACGAAATGTACTGTTCCCAGAACAGCCACTGGCCACGTGGCCCTGTCAGGTCACCTGACCTCTCTGTCTCGGTTTTGTTTTCTCATCCCTAGGGACCCAGACCTAGTACATGATCTATATTTTTCTCATTCCTTAAATCTTTTAGGTAAAGTTACTTTTTAAATTCCAAATACAAACTTTGTGGTGAGATACAATCTTTAAGTACATTAAAAAAAACTTATTCAAAGATAAAAAAACTGTTACAATGTTTGAAAGAGACAAAAATTAGCCTATATATGACAAGAAATATTAAATAAGTGTTCAAGAAAATTTTTTTTTTTAAGAAAGAGATGGATATTGTATAAGGTTTTCCAGTTTGGCACTGTTCATAAAACATACAGATACATTATAAGATCTAGGCTACAATATTCAGTGATTAAAATCTATTACTTCTTTTTTAACAGGGAGCCAGTGTTTCACTGTTTAATAAAAACAGCTACCAATATACACATACTAATCTTGCCAAGAAACATGCTAAGCATTTTACATTTATTGCCTCACTTCATCGTCATAATGAAACCTATGGAGTAAGTAATGTTTTGTCACTGAATGCATGAGAAATCAGAGTGCCCCAGCCTAGACTTAAATCACACTGACAGGGAGTGGTAGGCCAGAACACAGTCATTCTGCAAGCCTCCCTCGTCTAGTTAAGTAATTCACTCACTCGGCAGCCCTCTCCCGAGAATTCTGTACACACTAAAGCAAACAGCTCAACCAAATAACATAGGAAAAGAAAGCAGAGGCTTTAAAAGACTAGACAGAAGATAGCATCCATGGAAAAGAGGATGAATGCGCTCAAGAAAAGAAGGAACCCACCTTCGTGACCTATGACAGACCTGGAAGCTGTCTGAAAGCTAACAATTCCGGCCACGTTGTCGTTGGCCAAAATGTTCACTCTCACAGTGTCCGAGCTGGGCAGAATCCTACTTCCGCCGTCCGTGTACACCAAACTAACCATGATGCTCTCATCATCTTCCGGCTCAGAATCATCCAAAATGGTTAGAACGGCTGTCTTTTTGGTTTCACCTATTAAAAAAAATTAATGGAATTAAAGGCCAAAGAAACAAAATCGCCAACGTACAGAATTCAGAAAGCCCAAAATAACTTCTATTTTAAAAAGTTAAGTAAAGACACGTTAGTGAATTATAATAGCTCAGTATTTCTCCCAACTCATTTACTAGGAAATGGTAACTATTATATAAATATTTTCTATTTTAAAACTTACTCTAAAATATAATGATATCTGATATTTCCAAAAGTAACCCATGACCCCTAGTTTTTTTTAAAAAAATATGTGCATTAAAAAGTTAAACAGATACAACAGATGGCTCTAAGACAAGGAATTATAAATAATGTTTATTTCCTTCATTTTATTATATATTTTTATGTTCTTATAAATATGCATTACTTTCCAATCAAAAAATACTATGTTGAAAAAGCTTCAGAATTTGCTGTTGCCTAAATCAGGATTTAAACAATGATTTCAGAGAAGATAACTTTCCCACACACAGTTGAGCTGTTTTAAAAATATGAACTTTTCCAATTTTAAATATCAGAAGAGTCAACTAGTCCGGAAAAACAATCAGTGACCCTAATTCTAGTTTACAGGCCATATAATATATAATTACATTGTCTATCAAAATATTCATAATGATCCTGCCCAAGTCCAAGAAGACTACTGTTTATAAATTAATCACTAAGATTAATTTCCTATGACTGCAGTCACCAAAATTTATAGTATTTTACTTCTAAGTCATTTCCATTGAAGATTTATCCTGAGTTATCTAGGGCATATGAAAATATTACCAGGTGATACTCTTGCTTTCTACAGGTACTACTGCTTCCTACCCCATGCTGATTGTAGGTACATGGCTCAATCTCGTAACTTCTTTTACAAATTAGAACCTTCATTATATTTGCTTCTGTGTTTTCCTAAAGGCATTATTATCATGCATGGTAAATAAAATTCACATATTCCCTGAAAATCTTTTCAATGAATAAAAAAGATACATATGTAGTCACATCAGCCTATATATGTCAGTCATCAATAAGCCAACTACTGTTTTTCCCAAAGCTATGGTATACTTCTACACATTAGCAAAAATACACACTGTCAACAAGAGTTCTTATGAGCACTAGCATAAAAATTGACTCTGATGACTGTTAGAGAAAACTGAAATCCACTCAGAACCAAGACTCACCTTCAGCAAAGGTCAGAATGTCTCCAGGACCTATAAAATCTAAACCTTCGATAGCTGTCCCACCAACCACTCGCCATTCCACGGTCACCTGACCTAAGCTGCCTCCGGTCCTGTGGATCACCAGCTCCAAGGTTTGCAGCTGTTCCTGAACTTCCACAAATGAGCCATCTTCTGAGGTATTGGGACCAGCACTGTAGATCACAAACACCCCAAAGGCATCGCCGTTGAGCGCTATGACCACTGTAGAAGTATTTGGCTGTCCTATGGTTGGCTGATTTTTCAAACTGGCTGTGATGTTCATGAGGTGAACTTCAAGGAGAGAAATTAGGAAACTCTCATCCATTTCTGGAAGATCATCGGGAAGAATAGAAACTGTGAGATTTGCAAATTCATCACCCTCCAGCATCATGGCCCACTGCCTTGTCACGGGCTCATAGTCACTACCGGCTACAGCCTGACCACTGAAAAGAGCCGCTACCCTGGTCATGTTTTTCCTGTATGTCCAGAAGTTGGAACTGTTGACAGCTGGGCTGATCCATGAAGTTATCCAAAAACACTGCGCACCCTCAGCAGCACTGAGAAAGGAAAAGGCTGAGCAAGCCTGTTCTCGGAGGCACAAAGTGGCGCAGGTATGCCGGGGCTCCCCCTCTGTGGAGACGTTCACCCAAGTCCTCCAAAGCGGGTCAGGAACCCCTTGAACTGGCGACTCATAGTAGGACAGTAAATCTTGACCTTCCTCAACTGCAAGGGCCACTACATCAATATCAGAAGTACTGTAGAACAACAGCAGCCGACCAAAGTGCCCTCCGCTAAAAGGAGGAGGACAATGAAAACACAGGTAAGCACTCAAAGCCGTGGTGGACCGCGAACAGAGCACAGCAGTGCTGACTGTGGTTTAAGTACTTATAGAACACATCCATGTCTCTTAATTACATCTGGTTTTCAACACTGTATCCTTTCTCATGTAAAGGAATCTTGCTAGTTTTCAATCAAATAATGCCTATTTTAATCAAGTTATGAAAACATCTTGCACCATATGCAAATGGTATCCATTTCAGAACTTCCAAACAGAATTACAAAAATAAATGTATTGCTAAATTTCACTGAAACAAAGTAATAACAATATCATGAGTACATTTTTAGGAAATGTAGTTACTTGCCACGAGATCCCTCAACCCCTAAACTTTCTTTTCTGAAGGAGCTCAGTGAACACTCTGGTTGCTCACATAAGAAAAAGCAAAACCTGAAAATGAACCTCTCATATGACATGTGAGCGCTCTTTAATCTAGAAGCCAGAGATACCGAGATTCTGACAGACCACAGACTGAAGCAGTGACCTCTGCAGTGAGAAAGCACGATGGTGTGTAATCTGTTAGCCATTTCACTAGCGACGGCCATGACGGATACGATGGAATTTTCCACTGACACACATAACTCAATTAACACATTATACCAACATACAAATAAGCTGTGGTATAGAAAAACTGCCAAGTCTAAGCGATGGGATGGTAGAAGGATCCCTGCTACCGCCCACAGCTCCCGGCCCGCCCGCAGCTGCACGCAGGAGCTCATGTACCTTCGCCTGACAGTTATGTTAGCGCAGGAACTTCTTTCCAGGGGCTCTTGAACGCGATAAACCGACTGGACAAAGGCTACTGTACCATAAGGGTTATCGTTGGCAGGAATAATAACATTTGCCACGCGATCTAACCCAATAGTACCTCCACCGGAGGCCTCAGTTAGTTGCACTTGAATAACCTAAAAATATAGTGAAAACTTCCTTAACAGCAACCCACTTCTAAAGATGGAATAAGAATTATGCAGGACAATAATCAAACATATCCACTCATGTACAAGCTCAAAACGGAACAAAATATAAGTATACTCAAAACTCTCCCCAGTTACAATTACAAACCCAGCATGTAACAAAATAATCCATCATCAACTTTTCATAATAGAGCATACTTATGTGTGAGAAATACAGGCTGTTTAAATTCCTTGATGTTCAATTATACAATCATGTAATCACATCTAAGATTCCTGTTTATGTTCATCATTTCAGTCATATGGATTTTATATCCTATACCTTTCTTATCTGAAACACTGCATACACATTTTAGTGCAAAGTTAATCCATTGTGCTTTATCTCCTACCTTGCCTTAAATGGAAATTTTCTTGCAAAGCTTAAAAGATAAAGCATCAAATTTTAATGCCATCTAACCTTAGAGTTTGTCATGTTGCCTCATCTCCATGAAAATTATACATCAGGAAAATATGTATCTAGTCTATCTGTCATATAGTAACTTCTTCATAATACTGCAGATGAACAAATGAGTAGAAAATCAAGATCTATATTTAATTAAGACTGGCTCACACTCGAGCCAAAAGGAAGCATGGATACAAATTAAGAGTTTATACAAAGCAAATGTAGCAAGAATTATTACAGATGCATCTATTCATTTGCTCATTTAACCAAAATGTTGAGAAGTGCAATGTAATTGCACAAAAAAATTATTGTCCTGGTAAACTAGCATGCACACACAAACTTTTTCTATCATAGGCCCGTTTTTGTTATACATAAAGATCACTTTCAAACTAACACATTTTGGACATTTTTGCAGATATAACTTATTTGACATCCTCTCTAAAATGTCACAGCAACAGCGACCTGCTCTAGTCAACATAATACAAAGCATAACGTACAGAGTCATTCTCTACTAGCGATGCCTCTCACCTCTTCAATCTCCGGAAGGTCGTCAGCCAGGACCTCTAACAACAAGGTTTGAATGGTTTCCCCAGGGGCAAAGGTCACATTACCTGAGACAACTCGCAGGTCGCCAGTAGCAAGCTGTCCATTAATGGTGGCAACCCATTGAACAGTAACACTGCCGAGTGTCCCAGAATTTCGAATTATTGGCAGGTTTACCTTCACTGAGTTAAACTCAGGTTCCTCTACAATAAGTTTAGTAATCTGAAAACCTGAAGGGCAGAGAAGAGTTGATTTCAAGTACAAAGGAAGCTGGATCAACATAAAACTAGTAAATATCTTTTCTAGCGGATCCTCCCTCCCCCTAGCAGTCTACATTACTACACCCCATGAATCTCGGGAACGTGCTGAGATACCGCTTGGTCAGGCCTGCCAAACCATTTTTCACTATGAAAAAAGCAGAAATTACAAACTTGAATGTCCACAAAGCTCACGGATGTACCAGACAGGTATGAAATAAACCCGCTGAGGGCTATGGGTGGGCCCCCGTAGTTGCGTGGTCCCCGGTGTCGGGGGGGCAGGTGCTATTTTGCTGAAACTACACAGGAAAGGAGTCTTGGTCATACCAGATTTTTCTATTTATCAAGAAAGCTCCAAATCCAGATCTGAGATCTAATTTCTTTAAATTAATTTTTTAAAGTTATCTAAAGTCAAAAGACACATGTAGGAGCCAGATCTGACCTAAAAGCCCATAAGCTATAGTTTCCATCTGTGTTAAGAAGTGATTTTCTTTCCTTGTTTCTTTTTTTTGAAATAATTACTAACCCTGCCCACTCCTCTCCATGGGCATCCAATAGAGCAGTATTAGCAGGTTAAAGAAGAATTCCTACATAAATCAATTTGACTCTAGAAATACAGGAGAGCCATTATCGACAACTTAGACAGGCAGGTAAAAGAGACACAAAGGAACCCGATTACCAAATAATCCATACGGGTCGTCGGAGGCCTCGATAATAATGATCGCCTCTGTTACGGCTCCAAGTCTGGCTCCTCCCGTTGTCTCATTCAGCAGTTGTATGAGGAAAGATTCCTCCAGCTCAGGGTAGATGTCGTTAATGATATATATTGGCACAGCTTTACTAGTTTCCCCTTCCAGCAAGACCACGTCTGACGAAGCTATACTATAATCTTCACCTACAAAGACAAAAGGCTTATGCCAAAATAGGACACACATTCCATACCGGGGACACACCATCAAAATTTATGGATGTAGGTGGGAAGACTTTTCGAGGATATTACCTACATTTACTGTAAACAAGAATATTTGTCCTTTTCTATATTGCCAAATAATAGAAAAGACTTCCTAAGGGTGTCCACGTACATTCCTTCACTTTCAGAAAGATGTGTACATAGTTTGGTGTGTGCTTATATGAAGTGTATATGTGTGTGGGGGTGTATTTGGAGACAGAAACAATTATTCACTACCATAAAATGTCTTGATTTTACCAAAACGGAGATGTACACAATACCTTTGGCTAGAACAACGAACAGAACTGGAATTCTGGTCTCATGGGGAGATAAATTATTTTCCTGCACAGATGTGGCACATTAGCATTGCTAATGGTATGGACAAAAATGACAGACCTTCCTATGAAGTTGGACTCAAAGCTGCTGCGGAGTATCATGCAGGTTGGCATGAGCTTTGTTTCCGGTCCCGCAGTAGGTAGGGCAAGGGGGCGCTCCCCCGAGAGATCTCAGGACACTGACTCCTTACACCCCCCACCTGTCTGGGGTGGGTGAAGCCACGGGGGAGCAGGGCTCTGGGCAGTCTGACGGGCTGCTCACCCGCAGTGTGCTCTCACACCACACAGGACTAGGTGCCCTGATTTATTATCTTCTCAAGCAAGGATCATGCCCAGATGATTTCTTTCTACAAATCAGGCAAATCAGGCATTCTTTCACTCTCATTCTCTTGAGTGAATCCTGGAAAGACTCCAATTTAATTGCTCTTAGACAAATCTCTCTCTAAATGCTGGAACTGCACTGCAGAGAAGGCAGTATCTCCACGCCTGCATCTGACGATGAAATCGTTTTGCCTTCTTAAAATGCTTCACGCTAAACACTGCCTCTTCCTTATTCTTCATCAATAAACAAGCAAGACAAAGGGGTCAGAAAGAAGGCTGAGGGGAAAGCAACAGCTCCTCGTTTTCTCCTGTGGTCCTCAGCAGCCATTTATTTACACATGAATCCCTTCCAAAACAAGAACACATACATGAAGAGAAAGCCAACGATGCCCATAGCTTACTTTTCATCGGTTTGTGCGGGTTTCGGTTATCACAGCTTTTTAATGCATGCACAATTTACTATCAGTTTTCACAAGTTCAGGTCAGAGATATATTAAAGCTCTAGATTTGTGTCCAAAAAGATGCAAGAATAATAATACGGGCGGCTTTCTGGCTGATTTTCCTAATTATATCTTGGGGCAGCTTTGTCAATCAAGGACACGCGTCCTTCTGAGACAGTTCCCTGTTCTTAGATGTTCTTAGATGTCTTTTCTTACCAGCAATTGCAGTGATTGGCACGGCTTTAAACTTCACGGAAACATCTGCAAAGACCCCTCCCGTCCTAGTCACGTTGATGATGGGTCCCACGTGATTTTCTGCCACTCGAACAACTGGGGCTGAGAGCTGAAGAGTCCCAAAGGCATCGTCATTGGCAAGGATAATCACATGCGCTATGCTCTCTACCGGAGGCCCGAGGCGAGGAGAGTTCAGAACTGAAGGACAGAAGAGAAACCAATATATCAAGGCTCCAGGAATGTCCTGAATATCAAGAAGCCTCTGCAAGATTCCATCAGCCGAACAAGATCCTCATTTGATGCTCCTCTCTGCTATTTATTTTTTTAAATTTATTTTGTTTGTTTTTTTTGTTTTTCTCCGGTACCAGGAACCGAACTCACGACCTTGCGCTTGCAAGGCAGGCGCTTTTGCCGCTGAGCTAAATCCCCAGCCCTATTTTTTTAAATTTAAATATGTATACTTGTGTTGGAGACCACTACAAAGTGGTTCTGAGCAGGATTTAATTATTAATCACATTTGGCTTTAATATTAACCATGCTGGCTTTCCATGTTTACTTGTGGGTTGTCCAAAGCTTAGGCTCCTTGTCTAAAGATGGGAAATGGACTCATAGTAAATAAACCTGTATGAGTCACTGGCCACCCTGAGGCCTGTATTGGCCTGTGAAGCTGTGACACCTCTAAGGACAAGATAAGGTCACAGCTGAGGATGTCTGGCTCCAAGCCCAATTAACTGAAAGGAGACTGCAGCTGCAGGCATCTCGCTCCTGTGTGAAGGCCTTCCTGGACATAACACAGTTCTCCTCAATTAACATAATGTATTACTTGGAGAAGCCCTTACAGGGATTCCCAAGTCCTGCTCAGATTCCCACATTGTCTTGAGTAACCCCCTCCTTTGTTTGTAAACCAAATAAATACCAGCTGCCCAGCGAAGTCTTTGTCTAAACTCAGAGAATACTGAAACTGTAAGAGAGTTAGGCCCTCCTGGAGCCCTGAAATCATTTTAGTTGTCTCATTTATTTAAGACTTCACAGTCCACTCGCTTGGGAGATTGTGGGTCTGACCAGCCCGCAATAACTAAGGGTTATTTAACCCAATATATTTGCAGCAGTATTAATCTAGGCATTGGAGATACAAAAATAAATCACAAGTCCCTGCTCCCTTGAAACTTACATTCTGTGGATACTTTTATGATAAAATTACAGCAAAGAAACAGTTACCCTACAGGAATAATTTTAAAAGTGGAAAATTTATCAAAGGGGAAAATGATTTAAGTATCACTCATCATCAGTTTACATAATGTTACAACAGATAATGAACCTACAGGACTATGATCTTCTCGTTAGTTCACCACCATGCCGACTTAAAAGTAAAAGCTTTCCATTTACAAAAGTGAGTAGGGAAGTAATTTAGTCCCCTGAGCTCGAAGGCCAGCTACAAACTAGTCAACCTACTGTGAACACTCGAACTTATTTCTCTTATCTAACAGAATTTGTAATCCATCCCCGAAGAGTCCTGTCCCTTTCCCCTCTTTCCTCTCCTTATTAATCATTGTTCTATTCTCTTCCCTGAGATCAACTTTTTTAGCTTCCATATATGAGTAATACTATGCATTATTTATCTTTCTATGCCTGGCTTAATTCACTTACAATAATGCCCTCTAGTTCCACCCCCTGGGCCACCAATAACAAAATTTCATTCTTTGTTAAAACTGACATAGTGCATATTCTATTGTGCACACGTACAGTTCCTTTATGCATCTGCTGAAGGATATGATTAAACATGACAGAGTCGCTATGTAGTGTATATGGTGTGTACAGATGAGGAATCTGAGGTGCAAAGAAACTGTGGAAATTACCTAAGGCCTTGCATTTGAATGGTCAGGCACTGTCAAGAGGGTTACCGTAACTATACAGGTTTGCTCCCTCCCGCTCTCCACCTGCACTCCTTCCCCAAGGCAGCTGTGAGAACTGCCGTTATCCAGGACTGGCATCCTGCCCTACACGCACGGGCCCAAGCGCTGCCCCATCTCCTCACTCCTGAGACTTGATGATTACACTCAGAAGAGAGCATCAGGTTCCAGGCCACATTTGTCTATTCAGGTTTGAGCCACAATTACACAGATTCGCATTTACCCTACATTGTAGCTGTTCTGAGTTGTCCCATGGAAGGTGCATGGTTCTGGGGACATATCAAACATAAAACACATGTGGGCGGCTTCCCCGCAGCACACAGATACCATGCATGAACCACTGGAGTAGTAGCAATTGCCCGTATTTACTGAATGCTTACATGTACCAGACACTGCTAATTTTTACATATGTTATCGCATTTAACCCCCTTAGTATTTTATGGATAAGCAAATTGGGGCTTTTAAAATTATACGAAATAGGTTACCACTATAGCCTGGAACATAAGTATTCTGACACCAACATCCATAGATCCCCTAGCCCCTGGGATAACAATACTTCCTCTTGGTTTTACTTCCATTTTAAATAATTGCTGAGTTGCTTCAAAACCAAGCTGTGTTTTTCAACTATTACCTCATAAGAATAATTATTGAGTTTTATGTAAATTTGGTTTCTGTTATAACTGATCTAAATCTGGCTTTAAAAAAAGAAGCAGGGAGGGGTTGTGTGAGAATTTTTAACATTCACTTCAATGTGAAGATGTCATGTTAACAATTATAAATTTTTTCTACAACCTTGGGTTATAATTACTTTCATTATGGCTAAGAATGCTGTTCACCCTATAGATTATAGCCACCAGGTGTTACAAAGGTGAAAAAAATTGGTAAGAAGCCTTAACCCACATGGCAGAATATAATCAACATGAAGATGTTGAAATTTTACATTTTAGGATGTGTAACTCCACAGAATTTTACAATTTCTTATCTTTACACAGCCCTGTCCCCTGCCCTCAGACATTTGCTACCAATACTGTGCAAAGAGCTTTGGGTGGTTAGGGAATCTTCAGAAGTGAATCTAGTAATGTCCCTGGACTCTAGATTGATTCCAGAATGTCTGAAGCTACAGTATGTAGCACAATAGTGCTAGAGATCAGTTACACATGGATTCCACAGAAGCTTCTAAAATTTACTCTGAGAACGTAACTGACATTTAAACCATGCTTCCCAAGGTTGGAAAGGGAATATGTCCACTTCTCACTGTCTTATAGATAAACGTGTGTGAGATGATGTTTTTGAAGTTAATGACTTACTATTTTTACACAAGTTCTTATAGTACTACTGTTTACAATTAGTGTTTTAAGCTTATTTCTAAAGATAACACATTAACAGATACTTACTTGGGCGATTCTGTATTTTCTCCATTAAAACTGAATCAAGTAGCTCAATAAACACAGACTCTGACCTTTCTGGTTCATCATCATCCAAAATTGAAATAGTGATTGTTGCTTCGCTCTGATTAGTTCCAAAAAGAGCAAATCCAGAAGCTGATATGTAGTCTCTTCCTTGAGTTGCTCTGGCTAAAGTAGGTGGAAAATAAGGTGGTTTTTCCATATCATCTACTGTTGCATAGGAGACGCTGACTCTCCCCAGAAGTCCTTTCAACCTGATTATTGATAATGTGACATTCTGGGTTGCTTCCTCAACTATAATAGGTCTGTTTTCCGCAGAAAAAATGAATACCCCATAAGGATCATCACTGGCCAAAACTATTAGCGTGGCATTAGTGTGAACTCCTAAGGAACCTCTGGAGACATTGAGGATCGACACCGAGAACGCCTTATCCAGCTCAGGCTCTTCATCCGGCAGGATTTCCACAGTGATGTGGGCGCGGGTCTGCCCAGTCTCGAAGGTGACATTGCCCGAAGTGAAGGCAAGATCACCATCAGGGTCTGAGTCTATGTTCCAATGCAAGGTCACCCGGGACAGAGCTCCATGACTCCTTATCACCTACAAAATATTTAATAATAAAGTGTTTGAAAGAGAGACTGAACCCAGTGGCTTAGAGGCTTGTGAGTACATAAGGACAGCAGCATGGTAAATTTTAATTTTATTATAGAAGTTCTCAAGACAGTAAGATTACTGAACATGAAGGAAATATACCACTCATCCTTGAAGCCTCAGGGATTGTACAAATGGAGGGTAGTTAAAAAGTGATTACTGCTGCCCATGGTGGGTGCAGGCCTGTAATCCCAGCACTCAGGAGACTGAGGCAGGAGGACTTCATGAGTTCGAGGCCAGCCTGAACTATGTAGTGAGACCCTGTCTCAAAAAAAAAATGATTATTACATGAAACCATAAATTGATGGAAAAATTTTAGTTTCTAAATTATAGGTGTATCTTATATGTAATTATATATCAAAAATGAATCAAATGTGACTAACAATTTATTACAGTTATGCATATTTATAAAAAATTTACATTTACTGCAAAAAACAGTGCTTATTATAGGAAACAGATGTGTGCCATTTTCTGAAGTTAGTCATAAAACTCTTTCTTAAAACAAATTTTATTTCTTTTTATCTTTGATATAATATAACCAACCATACAAAAAAAAAATCCCACAGTTGACCCAAGGTATCATAAAATAGATTTAAAAAGGAAGAAATTTTTTTCAATACATTAAGAAGGATGAGGAACTTAAAATATTTAAAAATAACTCCCAACTTCTTAATCTCAAAAATAATTTTTATTTGTATTTAAAATGATTGTTAGCTCAAAATAAAATTATAGATAATTTTATTAAAATGTGATCTTTCACCCTAATTTGTTTTTCTCTTTTCTAAGTAGCTATTCAATTAATTCCACAAGTTTTTTGAAGGTCTAGCATAGTAAGACAGAAGAATATGTTTGGGTGATCTTTTTTTTAATTATTTGTATAAAAGCTGAGGCCACTAAGAAAGCTTCTAGCTCCCCTGGGTCACTGAACAATAGACTCCTTATTAATTTCTGCAGGAACCAAGTAGAATGAATACCAACACACACACACACACACACACACACACACACACACACACTTCTTTCTCCTTCTGGGAAACTGAAGAACAGGACTATACTTCACCCACTCCCATTAGGCATGGTTATGCCACTTGCTGTAACCCTGGAAATCTAAGTAGAAATAATGAAAGTCAATTTCAGAAAAAACTGGGGAAAATAGGGTGGTAGATTATGCCTGTAATCCCAGCTACTGGGCAATTTAGCAAGACCCGGTCTCAAAAGAAGATAAACTGGGCAGCTCTGGGCAACTTAGTGAGAGTCGGTCCCGAAATAAGACAAAAAGGAGCAGGGGGTGGTTGCTGGGGGGGGGGGGTCCAGCGCTTGCTAAGTGTGCAGCAATTCAGTTCCAGGTTCAGTCCTCAGCTCCACAAAAAGTAGGGAGAAAAAAGGAAGAAGAAATTAAAATAAGAACACCTGTGGAGGGCTGGGGATGTAGCTCAGCGGCACAAGTGCCTGCGTAGCAAGTGCAAGGTCCTGAGTTTAACTCCCAGTACCAAAAAAAATAAAAAATAAAAAAATAAAACACCTACTGAGATGTAGGCTCTACATGGAAGGTCAGAGGCCCTTGCCAGTTAGACCGGATAAATACTATGAGCTAAAAACAAACTTCTGTTGTACTGAAAACACAGATTTTAGAGATGTTTGTTCCCACAGTCTGTCTGATCTCATAGAAAATCTATGTAAGATAAATACTCATAGCATAGCTTCATTGTATTTCTCCTTAAGGAGTCAGAAATCTAGACTTCAGCGCACTAAAATGAATTTACATGCACAATTAAACACAGACAAATGCCAGATCACTATTCGATTATCAATTTGTAGTGTCTCTGTCAATGGGCTCACTCCTTTCGCCTACAGAAAATAAAAACATAACACAATAAAACTTTCTCTGGAAAGAACATGGGGTGGGAATGGAGGAGAAACGCTCACACTTAACAAAACAGTGCTGCGTCCATCTTCCGGTTCGGTTCCATTGACAAAGAGCGACTCGGGGCTAAATTCAAACACGCCGTGTGCGTGGTCGGAGGCTGCGATTGTCACCAGGATGTGCGAAGCCACTCCCAGGCTGGCTGCAGGAACAAGTTCCAACAAATAGCAGGAAAATGTTAATCAGGAATTTACGGACCACAGGAAAAGCGAAGGAGCAACTTTTTGAAAACAGCCATTGCATTCATGGAGGACATTCTAATTTGTTTTAGACAGAAAGGCAGACACAAATGGTTGCCTCCCATATTCATGTTTTCGTGACCTCTTTCTACGCTGGCACCAGTGTGGTACACAAGCCCGGCACAGCCGCTCGGAGATGAATAAGGAAAACTTGTTGTTCTTTTTCTTCTCTGTGAAAGAGAACATTCTTCAGAAAGTATATGACGAAGGTCTCCCACGACCTCCACTGACCTCGAAAGAACTTCAGTCAGACTGACAGTTACCTTAATGAAACAGTAGTTTCCCTAGGACTTCCATCAGTCCGGTTGGACAAATTCCTGGTTAACTCCAGGTGTTAACTCCAGGTCTAACTCCAGTGTGTTAACTCCAGGTCTACTTTCACATCATCTTATTATCGATTTTATCTCTCCTGATCCCAGATAGTCCAATCTGATACTAAAACGATGCTAAGAACTAAAGAAGCTTCTTTCATTTTCCTAAGAAGTATACTCAGTTTTTATTTTACATTACTGAGACAAAAATAGAATAACGTACAGGTAGTGGAGTAATTAAATACAGAGGTTAATAAGGCACTGATGGAAGTTAGGGATGAAGGGGTAGGAACGTGGGTCCTGACACTCCAGTAAACAACCTGGCCTTGGAAACAGCCCCCTGAGAAAGTGCTGTTCTCCAGCAAGCAAGTGTTCTAATATTCTCTTCACATGTGAAAAAATATGCAAGGTAAAACACAGAATCATATTTGTATCTGCGTCTGCTTCAAAAGGCATCTTCTTTTCAGTACTTGGCCCACTAACTGCCAATATTAGTCTCCCCATCTATTTGATTCCTCGTTTCTTTTTCCCATTGGTTTTGAGTAAATGCTACACATAAAAACTCATGGTTCTTTTCGTGCAGTAAACAAGAGTGATGCACTTAAGATGAAAATACAAATGTTCTGTTTACCTCTTTTCAGGTACTCAAAGCTATGTAATGTTTTTCAACAATTATTTTTACGGATGCCCTTCAAGCACAATTCCCATCAGGTCAAACTCAGGGAAGTGCGCGAGGCTCTGAGAGAGGCAAGAGCCTGGGCATCAGGGAAGACAAGCCCTGCGACTCAGACCTGCCCATTGTCTAGCTCAGTCACTGGAGCCTGGAGCACATAACACTGTACAGAGTTGCAGTGATGGTTAGTGAGATACGGTATGTAAAGGTCCAACACACACTAGGCGTCAGTAGGGGTTAGTACTGCTGCCTCTGTGAAGAGACATTAAAATAAAAACATGTACTAGTAAAGGACCTTGAGATAGCTGCTTACCACGTCTGTGAATAGTTGGGAGGAAGAGTTCCACGTCCCCAGCACCACTACCACTGCCATCAACCCTAAAGAGCTCAGCCACTGCACAAGGGGCACACGGAGACACAGCCCATGCGACACACATTGACACAATGAGAAAATTAAGAGCTCTTAAAACATAAGCAGGCACAGAGGAAAATGCAATTGTATTCACCAGTGACACATTCTGCCATAGAAAACGGATCAATTGCTAACATTCTATGTTATAACGCCAGTCAAGTGATTCGTTACCACAACTTCATTCATTGTTTCAGGAAATACTCTGTAAATTGTAGTTGGTATTTCACATTTCCAACTATTTGATTATTTTGTTTTTAAACTTTCACCTATTTACAGCAGTATAAATTGTTTTCTAACATTTAAAAAATGTTCACATGATATATAATATTGGTAATACACTTAGGCCTGTATGTCTGTGACAGTCACCTTAGCACTAAAAAAAAAAATTACAAAATTAGAGAAATGCATATAACATTTCCCGCATCCACACATTCAAACCCCCACAACATTTACCACTCTCAAATTTTCCATCAATATTGCAGAAAGGGCCTTAGATAAAATTCTCCTGCCCTGGCTCTCAGACACCAGCTAGAAAACTTGCACCAAGACACCTCTGCTATCTTACCTTTCTCACCTACAAAGTGCTGCCTTTTATAGAAATGTAAACAAAAAATAATATAGTAGAAAATAATATGGTAAAAATTTTAAATGCCTTGGTAATACATAAACACTTCCTTTCTTCCCATCCCAACTCACAGAGGGAAGTAGACCCTCTGCCACTGCTGTTTGACTCTTTATGTGATACATAAAGTCAAAGTAGTGACACCCTCAACCCAATACACCTCACGCACCACCCATTAGTTTGCCAAATGCTTACAAGAAGAAAGGAGGGCAGTAACGAGAGGTATGGGAAGCAGAGTAAAGAGAGCAAAGCCACACCCATACATACGTGCTTCTACTCATATCCCCATTCCCGCGCTGGCTTAACATCTGTCCTGCCCTTTGCTTTTCCCCCTCAGTGAGACTGGATGTCCCAGATAGCCGCAAAGTTAGGCACCAAGGATGTGAAATCATCTGAGAGGCTTAACGGATAAACAGACTTCCAGCAACTGACTAGTACACAGCCTGGCTCCCATACTCCATACTACCTAGAAGTCATGGGAACGGGGTGTGACGTTTACCACTATATAGACTTTGGCTAGCACAAAACATCCACTCAGACTGTGGCTGGCAGATCAAAATGAGCTTTGGGGACAAAATAGTAAGGAGGAACAGGTGTTCCCTGGGTCTGCAGCAGAATGGAGCTCTCCAAGCTGCTCCACAATAGGCAGAGTCTAGGTAGGAGCATGGGAGCGGAGGCCACTGTTTGTATTTCCTTTCTTCCCATCTCAACTCACAGAAAAAAGCAGACCCTCTGCCACTGCTGCTTCAGAAGAAGCTCCAGGGCTCGTTCTGAAATGAGTGCTCATGCCAAGTCAGTGTGCAGCAATGCGCTTCTACAGGTGGGGGGAGATTTCTCCATAAAACCACAAGCATCACTAGCGTCACAAATATCACCTCAAGAACAGTTTATATTCAGAACCCACGTGCAGTTGAGTGGATAGAGTGCTGTAGCACAACGAAAGCCCTGGGTACAATTCCCAGCGAGAACAAAAAGGGGGACAGTGTGAATATTTGGGGCTCCACCAATACCAAGTCACTCAGTACCATTTCGGCTTTCCATTGAATAAGAATTCTTGCTGTGATACAAATGGCAGCTTTTCAAGTATTTTACAGTGACTTTTTTATTAATGCCAGTGCTGTCCTGAGCACAGTGAGGGGAGGTGTGAGGGCGCTTCTCCAGGGGCGCATAAAGCTGGTATCCTGCACACCTCACCAGCCAGGTCCCCTGCACACATTTACTATTCCGTGTGTTCCCCAAGCTGTGACCCTGCGTGTGCAGTCATTCCCCTGCCCCCGGGCACCACCCTAGTCTCCTTTGCCTCCTCCAAGGCTTGGGGACACGGGAAAGGGAAATCTTTACCCCAAAGTCCCACTTCACACACACAGATGATTTTAATACATGAGTCCTACCAAATGTGTCCTGGGCTGCCTTTTATGCTACCACTCTTCTCATCAAAATAACACAGACAATAATAATATAATAATTGTTATAGCTAGAGGGACTGCCCTGACGAATACCATGCCAACTCTCCAATGCCTATAATTTCAAAAGTAACACAGGGCCTGGCACTTGTATTCTGCAACACTGCCAGTAGCACCTGGTATTAAAACTCAGCACTTTCACAAGGAAGCATATATAAACAGCTCACCTATGCAAGATAAATATAAATAACTCCACTCAATACAGATGCCAGGGGTCAGGGATATGGCTCAGCGGCACAAGCGCCTGCCTGGCAAGCACAAGGTCCTGAGTTTGATTCCCGGCACCAAAAAATACAGATGCCAGGCCATGAGTTTCAAAATTAGATCTTAGATAATTAGAGCTTTCTAAATACTAGAATTGAGGATAAGGTACTGTTGAACTGTTTCAGTAACATTCATCTCACAGATTACCTAAAAGGATTGGTTTTTACCTGTGTTACCTGCCTCTGTCTTTAATGGAGCTACTGTGAATTCAGATGAATGGATAAAGAAAATGTGGTATTTACCAACCATGGAATACTACTCTGCCATAAAGAAGGATAAACTTGAGTCATTTGTAGGTAAATGGATGTACCTTGCGACCAGAATGTTCAGACCATAACAAAATAAATCAGACACACATGCTTAATCATCACATGGTTTTTCTTACATGAAAAACCCAAATCACAAATAAAGAGCAAAATAAAAGATAATAGGAGGTAAGAAGATAGATCTGTCTCAGATGAGAAGGGGATAAAGAGACGGAGGGAGCACCGAGGGAGGGAGGGAAAGGGGATGGAAAAAGGCGTGAAGATGTGGCGTGGATGTGCAGCTCACACAAGGAATGGAAACGTGCTGCAAGCACAGACCGATACACAGTGGAAAGAAAATCAGAGGTTCATGAAGAGGTACTGAGAGACAGCTGGTATCAAAGACAACTGTAATTCAGTGATTTGGTAGAATTACACCATTGCATTCTCAAAGCACTCCTACTTTGGGAAAGTATCAGTGAATAATAAAAGGGAAATAACACACTAGCCAATATTCATATAATAAAAAGAGATATTTCTGAAAATTCACCAAACCTCATAGAAAATTGAATTAATTTATTTTTGTGCATGTGTGTATGGTTTTGTTTTTTTTTTTGAGACAGGGTCTTGCTCTGTAGTTCAGGCTGGCCTTGAGCTCACTTTGTAGCCCAGGCTGGTCTTGAACTCACAACGATCCTCCTTGCCTCAGCCTCCCGAGTGCTGGGATTATAGGTGTATACCGCCACGCTCAGCTAAATTAATTTATAAAACTAATACTCAAAATTTATTAGAGAGATAGGAATATTCCTTTTACCAAGAAAGCAATCATAATTGTTTGCCATAAATCTTAAGGAATTACTAGCTTTCAGGCTATATTTTCCAAAGTAGTAATTCATTCACTGAAAAAGTAAGCCAGAATGGCTGTTATGCAAATATTAAATAAGTGCTGGAGAGGTTATGGAGAAAAAGGGACTCTTATGCACTGTGGGTGGGAATATAAATTAGAACAGCCACTGTGGAAAACAGTATGAAAGCTTCTCAAAATACTAAACATAGAACAACCATATGATCTAGCTATACCACTCCTAGGTATTTATCTGAAGGAAAGGAAGTCAACATTCAAGAGAGACACATGCACACCCATGTTCACTATGGTACTATGCTCAAACTTGACTCAGAGTCAAGATATGGAACCAGACTAGGTACCCATGAACAGATGAATGGATAAAGGAAATATGATATATATACACACAATAGAATATTACACAGCAATAAAGAAGAAAGAAATCATGTCATTGCAATGATGGAACTGGAGAACACTGTGTTAAATGAAATAAGCCAGACACAGAAAGACAAGCATCACATCTTATCTCTTCTATGTGCAAACAAAAAACAAACACTGAAAAGGGTGACCTCAAAGTGGAAGGGGTGCTATCAGGGAAGGGGAAGGGACTGGGTGAGATGGAAAAGAGGTGAGGGGAAAAGAAGGCAGAAGGAAGGTTGGACAGGATCAAAGCTCTACATATACATGGAAGGAAATGTCCCAGGGAAACTCACAAACTTTCACAATTAATGTGTTAACAGTACTTTTTTCTAAAAGTAAAGCTAATTTATAGGACTCTTTACATAAACAGAATCTATTGTCAATGTGGTAAGCAGACAAGACAAAATACTGGATATTTTTGTCTTACCTCCTCCTTCCAAGTTTAACAACTCAACTTTAAAAGACTTCTCCAGTTCAGGGATAGAATTATCAGTGATGTTGACAAAAATGTATTTGTATCTTTCTCCTGGTTGAAACTCTAATGTGCCAGCAGCACTCTGAAATATAAACGAAAGATTTCTTCATTAGATTATAATTATTCAGTATTGGACATTATAAAATGAGAATGTTTGTGATCTACCAAATTCTCATAAATACTGAAACAGAAGAACCCGAGTAAAATACTGTACAAAATTAAAAACACCTTAGTGGATATGAGTAGTGTTCGCTATTCTAATTACACATCCTTAAACTAAAGAAAGGAGACAGATGGATTTGAATTTTATTTGCCTAGTCATCAAAACAGTAGTCAAGGCCAAAGAGAAATCTTAATAGGTGACATCCACACATGCCTAAGAATTATTTCACTACAACACAAGGAATTCTCTCCACCAAACATATGTAGGACTATTAAAATTATATAATGGAGAAATTGAAACACTCAGGGCTAATGATATTTTCATTCTGAGAGTCGAAGCAATAACACAAATCACTCCACCTGGCAGTACTATTTTCCTTATTATACTTAAATTAAAATTCATAACATAGGATCAGCTCCTCCCTCCCTCCATTGGCGGGACCCAGGTGACCCCGCGGGAAGAGTCCCAGCAATCAGCTCCATGTGCAGGGCCCGGAAACAGCAGGAACACCAGCAACACTGCAGAGCCCCCAGCGAGGACGCACATGATGGACAGGCGGGACTAACAGCATGAAAAGTCCGAAGCAACAGTAATAAGACCAGCCAGCAGGTGGTAAGTTAGGTGAACCAGCGCTGCGCTTGGGGACAAAGACGTGGAATAGAAGCAGATGGGTAGGGCTGTCGCCTTCTTTTCCTCTTTTCCTTTCTGAACGGATGGGGAGAACTCCAGCCACAAAAAACCAATCCCGCCCCCATCCAGAGACCAAGATCAGACCCAAACCCAGCACAAAGCCACCTGCGGTCTTGGCTGGAGTACACATTTCTGGGACTGGAGTTGGACCGACCACAGAACTGCAGACACTAGTGGAATTGCACTACTTTTATTCTTCTCTACCTGATTGGTTTTCTTTTCTGTATAGGGCTGGATTAGTGTTTTTTTTTTTCCACTGTTTTTCCCTCTGTTCTGTTTTTTCCTGTTTTGTTTTTCTTTCTGTATGTTTGCTTTCAGCTTTTGTGTGTGTGTGATTATTTTTTTGTTTCCTTTTTCTTTTTATTTCCTTCTTTCCTTTTTTTAGTTCTCTTTCATGATTTAGATCTCTAACCTTTCCTTTTATTTTATTCCACTCACCTTCTTCCTTCCTTTTGTCAATTATCTCGCTTGATGTTATGACACTTTCACGTGAGTAGACACTGGCTCTTCTCTTTCTTGTTTGCTTCACTACTCCTAGGCTTTCTCTTCCAATCCCTCCCTTTTCTGTCTTACAACTACCCAAAACTTGGATGATCATCCTACACCTCCCAATCTTACTGCTACTATATTTAACTTCACTCATCTCTCCATCCTACCCCTATCCCTCTTAAATCCCCCACACAACAGGGTAAAATCAAGTGGAAAATTATTGCATACAAGTTCCTGGTATAAGTTGGATCATATTTATAATTAGAACTTGTTCCTATGGCTAAAGATATCAGGCTAATAGTTACCACAGTTCGGCAGCAGTCAGGCTGTGCTTGAATCTATCGTCACTGCTAACTGTACTATTTCAACCAGGATATCATCACTGTTATAATCAGTTTTTCTCCCCTGTATGACAACACCGTGATTGTAAGGGGTCATAACCATCACTACAGTATAAGAAAAAAAGCAATAGGTACCCACGGAAGTGTCAGGTTTCAACATAATCCAGAACCTTAATTCACCTAAATGTAAAGGCCAAAAAGCCATCAGTGCTCATTTTCCCTGAGCAGCAGGCCCAGATTCAGCGCAAGACTCTTCCCATCCTCCGAGAGATGCCTGTGCCCGTTTTACAAGCACAAGCGCAGCTCCCGAGGCCCCCGGATGTACCTGGTAGTCCTCTGGACTGGATGCTGTCAGGGGCACGGTTCTGAATTCCGCAGTCACCCTTCCCAGCAGGCCCTGCGCGCGGACGACCAGCAGCTTGACTTCTCCATCCTCCTCCTGCACCGTGAGGTGAGGCTCGCTGCTGGCGGGCAGGCTCATCGCGTCCTCTGGCTGGGGAGGCGGCTCCGTGGAGAACTGCAGCAAGCCTGGGGACAAGTGAGACAGGAAACCCCGAGTCATCCACAACCATCTGTTTTATCTTGTTTTTTGAGACAGGGCCTGGCTGTTGCCCAGGCTGGCCTTGAACTCGAGACCCTCCGGCCTAAAGCTCTGTGGAGGATTTCTTTCTCATCCCAAGCGAGCTTGCACCAATGTTTTTATCACCAGGCTGAAGTCCTGAGGGCATTCATGTAAAAAGATTTTAGTGAAGATTTGCTTAACATGCTTTTGACATGGAATATGTTTCTATACTTTCATGTTAAAAGTAAAAATATTAATTTTCCTTGTTTGTATTCAAAGAAAACTTTTTTCCCCTAAAGGAATATCAACTAAAGGAACACTGGGGTTTAAAAACATTTATTTTCAAGCATTTACATATATTTGAGTTGTATCTCTGGAATTAACCCTCGGACTTACTGTAGAAAAGGGTTAATGACACTCTAAAGGATTTGCAACACTTTAAAAATAATTTAACTATGAAAACCAGAAAGGAGAGTTTTTCAGGTTTCCTATCTGGACAATTTTAAACAGACGTTCTTCCTTTATTCCTTCACAAGAAATATCCTTTTCAATCTAAAAAATCTGCATTTAGTCCAGACATCTATGATAGTTTCCCAATGAAGAAAATTAGCACTTTCCAGCATTAAGACACAAATTAACGTAAATGACAGGGATCATGTCTTCAAGAACAATAAAATATAAATTACAAAGTATTTCAATATGTAGGTATTAACATGCCAGCATAAGGTAATTTTTTAAAAGTTCTTTCAGTACATGTTTGTGCTACATAATAACATTCATGCTTTGTACACGTAAGGTAATTTTTGATTGAAGGAATTTTGATAGCTGTAAGTAGAAGTACTTTTTCATTTTAAATAATCCTGCAAAAAAACTTGCCAAATTATGTAAATGCAGGCATGGATCTTTGTATATTCTTTCAAAAGCAATGTTCCTCAAAATGGAGGCCTAGAAGTGAAAGGTCTCCATTCTATTTCAATCATTTGAGAAAAGTCCTCTTAGAAAGTTCTCAATAAAACCAAGTGCACCCAAGGAGAGGAAATCACCCTTGCGACCGTGGCTTACCATACGGATGGTCGCTAGCTTTGATGGTGATATCTGTGGTTTCCTTCTCAGGATCAATGCTGGCGCCACTGGTGGGAGTTGAACCTAGCTTCCCATCTCCAGGAACTGCAGAAACCAGGGTCACTCGAAAGTATTCATTAAGCTCAGGGATATCATCATCAAGAACATATATATTCAGGACCTATAAATGTAGAAATCCACAGGCATTAGGCAGTGAGGCACACAGAAATTATGTACTAGAAAAAAATAAAAAGCTAACTGCATTCAGTTGAAAGTACTACTTAACATGACTTTGCTACACAAATTTACACATGAAAGAATATTAATGTGCAGGTACATATACACATATACAGAGGGGGAAAGTGGACTAAAAAAATTAATTCCTTAAACTCTAATGGACACTGCTATTATGTGAATCTTTGTGTTCTCTAAAAATTCACCTGCCAATATAGCCAGGCTCCAAGGTGATGGGATTATAGATGAGGCCTTTGGGAGACAAGGCATGTGAAAGGTAGACCCCAGGGGAACAGGAAGAATGTACTGAGGAAGGAGGCCTAGGAGAGCTTGTTTCTCTGTTCCTCCCAGCAGGACACAGTGAAAGGATGCCATGGCTATGGAGCACACACTGAGCCCTCACCACACATTTCATCTTCAGGCATCTTCATCTTGGACGTCCCAGGGTCCAGAGTAGAGGCAATACATTTCTGCTGTTTATACACTCCCCATTCTAAGGTATTTTGTTATAGCAATCTGAATAGGCTAAGACAGGAGCTGAGAAATAAATTTTCTTGTAAAAATATCCTACTCGTGCATTAATATTATATCATATATGATATATTGATATCCTGTATGAAGAGCATATCACATATTCTGTATACCAAAGATACCACTATTACTGACCTCAGCGTAGAGAATTCCCAATTAAGGAACTGCATGTTCTCTAGCAGGATGTAGTAGAGTAGCAAGAGAAAAGCAACATACATGTGTCCATTGCCTCTCTAAGAAAAATATGACTTACTAACAATATTTTAGAAAGTGGATTCTGTAACAGGCTTTAGAAGTCTGACTGAAGCAATTAGCCCATAAAAGTTATGAAATGAGGTAGAAATGACTCATAGCAATGCTTTATACATTTTACAGTGAAAAAAATAATTTCTCTTTCCTTTATTAATTGAACATATGTCAGATAGTGTCTGGGACTTAGACATGGCCCAAGTAGCCAACAAACTTACAATTTATAATAGAAGACATATATATATATACAAACATTTAAAATGTAATGTAAAAATGTCATAATAAAGTTGTGCACAAAGTACACCAAGAAAGAAACAACTGTGTACTTGGCAAAGGTTTTAGAACAGACATGTTTGGAATGAATCCTAATGGATTACATGATAATGAGGAATGTATGTGTTGCATTCATGTACATGATATCATGTTACAGATGTAATGATAACAAAGAATGGTAGCCCAAGCAAAACTCAACATAGCAAAATGTAGAAGGACCTGAAAGAATATGGCATGCAGGGAGTACAATCAGGCCACCAAGGCTAGAGCAGAGGGACATGTAGGGGAATGATTACAAGTCAGGTCACAGGGACCTTTTATGCTATCATAAAGAATATGGACTTCATTCCACAGAGAGCAAGGAGGGACAACCTGAAGAATCACAAGAAGGAGATGGACGAAGTGAGAACTCTGTTTTAGGATGAGTACCATGGCAGAACGTGAACAAGTGGACAGAGCAAGAAAGTATGCAAGAGGATCACTCACATAACTAATGGAATTCTGTGCCAACAGCCAAAGAGATAAGGAAAAATGAATGGATTTGAGAATCAAGTGGAGGAAGGAGATGCAGGCATGAGTGAGGGATGGGAGGAAAGAAGGGTGGCTTCCTGATTTCTCCCAGAAAGAACAGTAGTGACTGGAAACAAGCTACACCTACATGCAGTCTCCAAAATACTGACCACTGGACCTCAGAGCACCTAGAGACTCACTCATAAAAATGTTCCTAGAGATTTTGATTCTGTAGATCTGATAAAGAATCCAATTTTATTTTTAGTCCTATAATGATTTTATGTACTATATGGCATGACCATTGTACTCACAAAAGAAGCATTAAAATGACATCTCATAGCCAAATCATAACCATTATTACAGAATCAGAGGGAAAAAGACATTTAAAAATTTATAGAAGGCAATATTTTAAATAATTATCAAGTGAAACATTTATAACTATTTTACTAAGCAAATTTGATTTACTATTATCTCTCCCAAACTCTATATTAATTTAAGCTGTAAAACAAGGGTTGTTATATTTTTAGTTCAAAGTAGTTTTCTCAAGTAGGAACATTAAAAATATAACACATTATCATAATTACTTGATAAAGAGCACTTTAAATTCAAAGACAATCAAGAAAAGACAAAGCACTAGAATAAAATACACTTGTGCAAACTGAGTTATTTTAGCTTTCCGGAAACTTACTATGTGTCCTCATTTTACCTAAGATTAGTAAAATGGATGTATTTACAGACTACTATTAGGCAGCTTTGACTATAAACTATTTAATTCATTCATTTCCCTCCCAGATTGATCACTCTTCCCTAGCTTTAATTGTTCAAGTTTTAAGAGTGGTTAAAACTTTTCCTCAGTTTTATTTTTTTTTTTTTCATCCAATTCACTTGTAGGACCTTCAGGATTTTGCTTAGATCATTTATCATTTGGTAGTGTTAAGTTAATTTGCTATGTGTCCCCAATAACTTGTAAGGTATTTACATTTTAATGTAAGAAAGTACTGATGAGAACATTCCAACGTGGTCAACTAAAAGAGTGAAGTTCTGATATAGGAGGAAATGTCATGCTGACTGCACCATAGGCAGTGTAATTTATTTATGTGGCCGCCATTCAGTGGTGAGACTATGGTTCACAGAAAGATGTTATGAAATCAGGTCATTGGTACTTCTGAAATACAGAAATAGTACCTCATTTCTCCAAATTTAATGCAAATACAATCAGATTACAGTGATACAAACTTCCCATTGGTTAGCTGTATGGTTTCTCCCTATATCAGTAATACTAAAACAGTCATAATGATACACCCTCAAGCTATATCACTTTTATTATAATGGGATAAAAGAACACATAAAACTGGAGCACTTCAAAACTTTTATTTTTCTCTTGCATAAACACTAAATATTTTATACTATTGCACATACCTGACCTCCTTGATATTTCAAATTGCTAAAATGGCAAGAAGGTGCAAAGACATTAAAGAACAAACTCATCAAGGAATGCTTTCCCAGGGGCTTTCAAAGCAACAAAGAAGGTAGGAATCACCTCAGATCTCTGCCAAGGAAGGAAGGTGATAGCTCCACTGACATTAGCAAAATCGTCTACAAAATAATTAATGCCTTCAGATTCTATCTGTGAGATGGTGTAAAACACGTGCACGTAGTCCAGCGCTCCCCTCGTGCGCTCTACCACACAGGAAATGGTAGATCCCTCCTCTGCGATCTGAAATGGAACATAAATCAATTATAAGTGCATACCTATCGAAGGCAGCAATAAAATTACAATGCTTTCATGAAATGCTTCTATTATTTATAAACTTAATTCTATAACTTTTTACCTCTTGAAAAGAGTGTGGGAAGCCTCTATAGATGGAATCAAAACATACAATGAATGTTTAAATTTTTTAAAAATGTATTACAGTTCAATACACATTGCCATTAATTCCCTCAAAATGCTCCTCCTCACTTGGAACACATTTAACCCATCATTCTTGCCACTTTCTGAAGCAGTTCTGAAAGTCCTTTTGTGAGCATATTTGGTTCTAGATGCTCCATATCCCCAACAGATTCAACATTTACCTTTCATGGTCATTTTGAATTTAAGGAAGAGCCAGTCACATGGTGCCAGATCCAGAGAATAAGGTAGATAAGGACACACCATAATACTTTTATTTGACAGAAGTTGCTGTAAATATTATGAGGTGATTCAGGACATAGGGTTGCCACAAAAAGACACTCATATATTTTGACTGCTAAGAAGTATTTACAATCGTTTGGGTTTTTTCCTCTATTCCTTCATAGGGGTAAACAAAGCAAGACGAATCACAATCTTTTAAATGTACATGTAATTCATTCACTGATACTTCCTGTGTGCCAACCACAGTGCTAGATTTGATAGTTATAAAAGTTTTTGTCAAAATAATCCATAGTCCTTTCTCTGGAGAAGTGGAAATTTCAAGAGGATGACAGACGTGCAACTTAATGATGATTTCAGCACAGACAGAACAAATAGGAATGGTGGTAATGGGTAGAGAGTGAAGTGATATCAGGAGAATTTTTCTAGGCACGAACACAGAAACTATACCGTGTATTCTGTGCAGGTATAAAAAGTACCAAGTGGAAAGCTTGAGAATATTAACACGAGGAAAATGTCAGATCAACAAAAAGCATTTTATATCACACTTAATATAGTCTCAATGTTTTTCATATATACACAGAGGTGTACAAACATGTACATGTGTATTTTTTGAAGAGACTAATATTCTGATCTAAACAATTTTGAAGATAATGATTAAAAATTATAGGGAGCAAATTTGCAGATTTTTAAGTAGACCTTTCAACTATCAAATTGGCAGGCTCTCAATTAATTCTATTTTTATATTAGCAAGCATATAATTCAGAAAAAAGGGACTAAAACTGGACAGAGGTAAAAATACAACTCTTAACATACAGAACGTCACTGTGTCTTTTTCATTTGCATCATAACGACCTTCAGGTACATACAGCCTGTTTGGAGCAAACGTTAGAGCTGGAGAAAACAGATTTGAACTCTGTCTACCAGCAGGCCTAGTCAAAACACTTATCACCACACAGCAGCCCTAGGAGTCTTAACCCTCTAAGCTGCGCTAAGCAGCAGTAACCCTCATGCCTCTATGCAAACAGGATCCAGCACTGGGCAGTGCTGTAACTTCTTCATCTCTCTGCTGGCCTCCTGGCACCACAAGCCCAAAGCAACCAGGTAACAGTTCAGTGGAGCCTTGAGTGTGTCTCCCGGCGGACCTGTTCCCCTCCCGGGCCCACTGCCAGAACCAGGGCCTCCCTGTCACTGGATTCTAAAGCCCAGAAGCAGGATGCCAATTCAGGCAGAAAGCCACCAGGAGCTGTGGAGCTGGGGGTCAGGCTCACTTCTATAGCTTGCTCCTTGAGCCTGGGAATTTGGGGTGTGGAGCCACAGAGGGAGGTGCCAGCCCCTGAATGCACATCCACAACACACCAGCCCTGTAAGAAGTTGGCTGAGCTGGCAGCCTGGCTGGGTCTAGAACAGCCCACGCAGTTGCATCAGAGGAGTTGCTTCAGGCGAGACGGAGTATGGTAAGGCCCGGGAACCCAAGACTGTGCTCATTGTCCCTCCTCCTCTACGCAGTGTGAATTCCTTGAAGCCATGCAACGCAGGTTGCCAAGCAGCTAAAGTGGGCATTCTTTAAGCCTTCAGATAAAGGTGCTGGCGGAAGTGCTAGGAAGTTAAATCCAGCAGCTAACGTATGTATTAAATCCAGTGAAAATGAATCGCCACTTCCTCTGGAAGGAAAAATCTGGTTGGGATCAACCTACTACTAAATGGCTCACTGGAAAGTGCTTGGCTTTGGTCTCCGCAGCTTGCTGTTTGGGAAAGCAGCAGCAGCAGCTCACAATGTCACACGTGAGCGTAACTGCCATCCCGGCCATCGTGCTGTTAACGGCACTGTGTAACGGAGCCTCCTCCTGACGTCCCTGCCGCTGATGGCCTTTTGGGAAAGGCTCCCTCAAACAGCGCTCACTCCTAGTGTCCTCACGCGCATCTTCCCAGTCATCCTTGGCGCTAGCCTGGTTTTGACTCGCCCAAGCCTGGGCCAAGCATGGGCCAACTGGCTACACAACCGGCGCTACTGAGAGCTGCATGTCCTGCTCCTTCGGGCCATTTCTCCCTTCACACTCAATGAAAAGCTGAGTGGCTCTTTCTGGCCCTGCCCTTCGTCCTTCACACCCTGAGTGGGGCAGTAGAGGCAGCTCTACCGCTTGCTCTTTCGGAAGTACCAGCACATTGGAGCCCGGTCATCTACAAGGCAGGCTTGAAAGTTTCTTCCTTGGTCACAGGCTTGTCACAGGGTTTGGGTAAAGATCAAAAAGGTTAGTTTTAAATACATCCAGTTTGAAGTATCTATTAAAATATCCCTAAAGAGACACGTCACCATGGCAGCTGGAGAAATAAGGGTGGAATTTTAGAAAGAGGACAGGATTCATGACATAAATGCGGAAGTCAACGCATAAATGCTGATATGTACAGCCGTATGGAAATGGTTCATAAATACATAGTTATATAAATGATACTCTGTTGAGACAATGAAGGATGATGATATTACAGATGGTGAAAAAAGCACCAAGTACATTCAATTCTGCTGTAACACTTGTTTCAAATAAAGCTACACAGACATACAAACACACCCGCAAGATCTATCACCTCCTGGACTGAACACACTTCTGTTGCTAGTGTAAGAACTCTTCCCCGTGTTAGGATAACCTTCCTTCTGTTGCTTCACAGTCATACCCAAACTGGTACACTCCCAAGGCTCACTTTTGCAAGTAAACTTTACACCTTTTTCAAGGTAAAACACCACACTTTATACTATGTAAGTGTTAAACATTTAATGAGTATAATCGTGGTTTTCAATTATCTTTTTAAACATTGCTGTTTTGCGGAGTGTTGTCCTTGCTCATCTCTTCCACAAGCTCAGTGTTTCCCACCATGAAACAGTGGTTTCTAGGGACTCACCCCTTGGGTCGTGCAGAACTGACTGTTCTATAAGAGAGAGCCTAAAGATTTAAGAGGTGAGAGAGAACAGGACAAAGCAGCAAAAGGACCCAGGGGCTCTGCACAGCCTCCAATTTAATTTCCACCGAAGGTTCTGCACAGGCTCTTTCCTCCTGGCAGGACAGTGCCTGAGCAAACACATGGTGCAAAGAGTTTGGAGCTGGCAGAGTCCTCCCAGCACTTAGCAAGCACTCTCAGCCTCTTCTTAAAGGAACGCGCCTGCGGTCTCAGGGGCTTGGGTGGAGATTAATGCAGTGGAATTAATCCATGGAATCTAATGCAGTGGAATTAATCCATGGAATCTAGTAATATTATAAGTGCTAAAAATAGTAATATTTCTTCTTCTTAAAGTAGTCTTATACATGTAGTAAAAATTCTACATGAAAGTATTTTCTCACTTTATAAAGCAATATATATGCAAAAATCAAACTGATATATATATGAAAAAACACACTAATTCTGATGTTTCTCAATTCTTATCACAATGAAGGTGGATTTGTTCCATCTTCCCACTACTGATTTTAATGAAAATGAACATTTTGAACTAGTTAAATAAACCATTAATCTAAATATTTAAATATTCAACCCTTCCCTTCTCAGAAAGAGGCGTGGACCCAACAATGCACTCAGGAATGTGTGTCAGGTTCTTATAGACTTAAATTTTTACCAAAAATGGAGCTTCTAGAACTAAGACAGAATTTTTTTGTTTAGGAATAAACAAATTAGTAAAACTTTCGTCAAAATCTACAGCTTCCTGAACGTTTTCAGTTTTATGAAGAAAAAAATAAGCACATCAAAAAAAAACCCATCACCATCCATAAGAATAAGTGTGTAAACGTGTATGCTATACATTAAAATTGCATAGGAAATCTAATGATTTAGTAGTTTACTCAACGAATCAAACTCCATAAAGTTCAAATCAGAGACCATCCTATTTTATTTTAAAAATTTAAAAAAAAAACAAAATAACAATGGAGACAAAATCAAACAACACAAAAACAACAAAAACGATACATGACCTCAAAACAAAATGATAGGAATTTACAATGGTTGCCAAGAATCCATGAAAAAACACCTAGTGTGTTTGGTAAAAATCCACCTTTTGATATGTGTGAATCCACAGAGAAAGGACGTTTCTCTGAAGTTTGTTTTTAAAAATATTTTAGCCAAAAATAAATAAATAAAACAAGACAGGCAAAAGGCTAATAAGGTGATAGGCACAACAGATCCATTGTTCTGTCTTCTGTATTTTATGTTATCTATGAAAATCTTCACCTAAACAGATTTTCTCATTCACCTTTTTGCATTCTCCCCTCCCCCAGCCAGATATTCGAATCTAGGAAACAGATTCTGAATCAAGAGTATGTATGTGTATTAGATATAGCCAACTAGGGTTACCCAGGGAAAGCACTTTGAGAAATACTAGGCTACAGAATATAATTATTAATACAGAAGATGATTAAGGCATAGAGAACAAATATCTAAAATGTTTTCTAATATTAAAATACCCATTTAATTGGCTTTAGAATTATGATACAAAGAAACATTTCTGCCAGTATACATAAAGGCACAACATCCATCACAGTCTGCAAAACAGTGATGTCAGTCTTGCACTAGTCAATATTACTACTGTTTCCTCTTTTGAGTCAGGAGTT